GTTGTTTACTCAATCATTAAAAGGCCAGCTCTGAAATTGCCTGTCACACCTGAATCACCGTCTGACTGGATTCCCGTGATTTAGCAAGTGTGCGCACGTTGCCCACAGTTGGGCACACGGCTAGTTCAAAGTGGTCCTTCGTCCAAAACGCCTTGCTCAGGACCAAATGGTTCCTTTCAAACAAACAAAGTCCTAGAACAAGAGACCCCAAAGAAAGTATGTTCACATAATTTTTGGCAATGCTTCAAACTCGTGTTTCAGAATTCGGATTCCTGAAAGAGAAGTCGATTTTCGATCATAGTTTTTTTTCCCGTACTATCATAGTTGTTTTCCGTACTTCCGAAATTGGAGATTCCATGAGTCGAACATGAGGACCCTGCTCCGCCGCGGTGCGCTCCATGGCAAAGACCATGGTCTGCGAGGTGGGCGGGGCGGGGGAGAGGCCAACAGCCAAGCCCAGCTGCGACCACGAGCCTCATTTCCGTGGTAAGAAAGGCGTAGTAAAGTTAGTCGAACACTAGTGCAAATAACTGAATGGTTGTATGGCAAATCTTATCCTGCATTTCCTTGCATGACAACCTGCCTTTTTTGATTAGCAAGGCAGCCGGCAAAAAAAAAACACAAATCAGTCACATGTGATGCGCACTGAAAATCCGTGTTTCATCCACCTCAAGAAGAGAACTGCAAGTTTGTGCAACTGGTTGCAATAATTTAAAACAGTATGAAACCATTGTTCTCGCAGTCAAGGGATGGCTAAGAGGATTCGCCTAGTTTCTCAACATGAATTGTCAGGCCTTTGTCAATTGTGGGCATGCGACCTTTACACGTAATGCCTTGAGGCAGTTGTGGTTTTGGACATGACAAATCAAGTGAGGTTGTGAGGTTGTGGAAGCCCTCAGCTTTGTAAAGGAGTACTCGAACAGTCAAATGCTCGGATCTGAAATCCTGATGATGACTTCAAAAGACCAATAATATCACACAAGAACTGCACACTGTCCAAAAACAGTTCGTGTGCCTTGCAGTCAGCATGTCGCTGGAGCCCTTCTGGAGATGTTCTGTAATCACGGAAGCCAAGCAAAGGGGGCGGTCCTACATTTTGACACATACCCACTGGTCGTCTAAACTCTTGATGAAGGATAAGTGACTAGGTGTTGTGATCAAAACACATATGGTTGCATCAACACCCAACACCCCTGATGATTGGCTCTTGTCTGAAACCATCCCCGAAAAGAGCTCCTATATACGTCCCAAAGACAATGTGAGTATGCATATGTATACGGATCTATAGAGATAACACAAATGTATATGCACACACGTGTATACGTAGAGTGTATAAGTGTGCATATATATATATACATACGTATTTTGTATAGACAATTATATATATATATATATATGTTCTTGTTTTTTTTAAGGCATCGTGCAATGAGCAGGCACGTGATCCAGGAATCGCATCCATTCGGCTGCTACACTGGAGAATGGCCTTGCGGACCAGCTCGGCGCTCTGCTCCGAGGACTCAGCAGAGCGGGGAAGTGAGTGCTGTCCCCTTTTTCAATTTCAACCAGAGGTAGACCACCAAAAATATGGCTGTGGCTCAAACAACCGGTACCAAAATGGAACCCTGGTAAGTGGAAACATGGACTAAAACCTGCGTAACCCATGCTGTTTAATTTTGAGCCACACCCATATGTCTGTTGAGCGGACACCAAACCGCATGGATCAAATGTTGTGCTGAAGTATGAGGAGGCATGTGGATGGTTGCCCAGGACTGCAGGTTGTGCAAACCTCAGGAATCATGCTGCTTCTCAGGTCAAAACTTTAGGACTTCCAGAGTTGCCCAAAATTGCATTCGCTGGCATTTGGACCTTAAACCGATCTGGACCCAGAAGCAGAGGGTTTGTTTGATGGTACCAACAGTTGTAAGGCCCGAAGAACTTCGCCATGGGAAACCAGTGGGAATGCAGTTGCCAGGAGTCTGTTCTCATAAACGCCTGTTCTCAACTCGGATCCAAGATGGGTAGTAGTCGGATCTCTCATTTTGGACAGTACCGGTAGTTTTCAAGAGCTGTCCATCAAATTCTGACACTGGTGGATTTTACACCAATTTCATTGTCGCACAGTTGCTCAGACTGCTTCCGCTGCTTCTGCAAATGGACCTTGCGCCACCCTAGCTAGCATTAGTGGAATCTAATTCAGGAAGCAACATCAGCCAATGCACAACCAACATGACTCCAAAATATTCAGATCTGTGGTGGGCCCCTCAAGAGAATTCAGCCGTATAAAATTGTGTATAGAATCTTGGCCTTGAATGGCGAAACTTTCTGAGACCTGCTAAGGCGGTACAGAATGACACGTCACCAAAGCCGTCTCTATTTTTGACAGCACACGCTATGCTCAGTTCTGCGCCAAGGGCGTCAGCTCGCGGATGCAGCGGCCGAACTGGCGATGGCTTGCTTGCCGGGTTGTACGCTTGCATGCTTGTCATCCCGTCTGATTGCTGAATGCTTGCTTGTTTGTTCAAAGGACAATCGTTTCTAATGTGCACACACGAGCAACATGCACAATTCACACTCATGACTCATTACAGCGAAACATCGCAGCAAGAAACAAACAAAAACAACAACAACAACTCGTGCTTAAGCAATACCCTACAGAACCAGCACCGGCGGTAGTGATGGCTCCCGCACAAACAAGACAATGTGTTCGAACATTGCCCTAGTCTGAAAGCCGTATCACCTTGACGAGTTTCTGTCACTTTTCGTTCGCCGCCTCTTCGTGATCTCCTGAATCAAAGTACTCCAGGATCATCTCCTTGATCTCTCGCCTGATAAAGAGCGAGCTGACAAAAGCCCCAGCCAGCGCCTTCCGCCAGATGTTCAAGCCAGGGACCCAAGAAGTTGCAAAACATTTTGCATAGAAAATCGCATGAAACAAACTGGCAACTTGCACTTTGCCCTCCGGTTTCGTTTCGTGGGCTTGCACGTGAAAGCCCTCGGCGCTGAGCCATGTGCTTGGAATGCAGTCTTGTGGACTCAAGACTGTGGAACTTGCTGCATGCTATCCGCAGCCACTCATGCGCACGTTTTCTGGACATTTTACTGAAGCAACTGGACATTTACTGAAGACCATGGACTCAGTGAGTACCCGCACATCCAAACAAAATGTCAGCTTGACTGCCCAAGAAAGCCGAACGGGCTGGACCTTCTGATTCGCGTTTGCGCTTTTGCGGCTTTTAGCCTTGCAAGGTTCCGCAAATGGCAACTAGGCGGCCTCTTGAATCAAGTCATGGCCTCTGGCCTTTTAAGCCAAGGCCCCTGCTTGAAAGCAGCGGTGCTCAGCTGCTTCTTGCTGTACCTGGCACAACGCCTCTGAGTCGCTTGAAGCGCCGACAAAACCCACGACATGGCTTTTGCTAGCCTGCACATCGACTGTGCTTGCAAAGATCTGAAAAGACTGTGACATCAAACAATCTGGGCCTCACGGTAGAGATACGGCAGGCTCTGACAGCTGCAATTCCGGGTGGTGGGAAGCGCCGTAAGGTCGCAAAGCAACCCTCCCTACACTGCGTGCTCTGCGCACATACACACGCATGTGCACACACACACACACAGTCGGGAAGTGCTTCCAAAACACACCCCGAGGAACGCTCCAATGGCTTCCTGAATGCCTAATGCATGGAAGGTCTGATTCTCTAAACGCAACAAAATGAATGGTTAAATGATGCTAAATACGTCTTCACTCATTAGTTCGCACGTAAAGGTATTAGCAAATAGTCATACTAGCTCGTGAGAAAATCGTGGCATCCACATTCGACTTGGGCGCGACCCCAAATCAATAACCACTTGGCTCTATGGGCACGCAGTACAGCTCCAAGAGTTTAAGATCTTCACAACCCCCCTGAACAAACAAAGGGCTCATCAATCCGGAGTTGCTGGGTTGCCTTTGCAGGCCTCCAGGCAGTTTCCAGTTAGCCGCCTCGAAAAGAGCTCATTTGGGGCCTCCGCACATCCACAGACTTTCACCATGGATTTTGATTGCTGTGGAGCACCTTTGCTGAACCTCCCTGCCAACGAAAGAAGCATGCCTGGACTTGAGTTCGTATGTTTCCACAATGAATGCAGGTCCCGCCAGAATAGGGAAACTCTGCGCGCTTCAACTGATTATGACCCTGGCCGCTCAATGGCTTTCATGGGAGAGTGGCCTTTTCTGATTGGCGAGCATGTACCTAGGAAACCAGCTGGAACAAATTCAATGAGGGCGGCAACTGGTGCGGTGGCACAACAGAGCGCACAAAAAGCATTATACAAGGACAAACCAAACCTCGGTTGCTTTCTGCTCCCCTGCTAAAAGTTTTTAACTTTCAGTGGTTTAATGAAAAAACCCATCAGTTGGCAAAAAGCTAAAGTCCTAACATCCCTTGGCAAAAGGCACCAAAGAAAACAGGCCAACAGTCAAATGGCCGCTCAACAGCTTCCCACTCGGGTCGTCAAAGCCGAAGCTTGGCGCACTCGGGGGTGCGCCGCTGCACCGCCTAGCGGAGTGGATCCAACCCCACAGGGTGCTCGCGGCAAATATGGGACCAGCATGGACCAGCCATGTGGCCATGGGTCAAAATCCCGTACCCCCAGTGAAAAACCCAAATCCCCACTAAAATAGACTAAAATGGGTGGTGCCCCAAAATGGTACCATTGGTTTTGTCCTGTGTGTGGCAATTGCAATGCGGATGCGTGGGTTCTGCACATGGCGATGATTGTATGTGCCCTTCCTCTCCAAATGCCCAGACTAAGTGATGCTGCTTCCTCGTTGGGCACAATCTGGAATCCCTCTGCAACTCCGCACAGTGTGTGGTTGCTTGCAACACTTGGATATACTGATATACTGCAGACTCCCCAGTACACGAGCTTCGAAAACGTTCACTGGCCACCAAACGGCACACTCCCCACCTCGAGCACTTTCAGCCCGGCGCCATCTCCGATACGCAGGAGGCCTCGCCACTGCCCCCAGCCCTGCCCAAAAAAAAGCCAAACGAAGCATCTGCATTACCCACGTGGTTTGGTTGACTTTACCAGGCTTGAGCTTGGAGCATCGGGCTCAAGCCCTGTTGCTGGAACAAAGTAAGCCAAGGCAAGTGAAATTATGCGGTTTACTGTTCCATTTGGACAGGCCGACGCAGCTTCATGTTGTCCAACATGACTAACCCTATGTGAGGCTATCTTGAAAAAAACAACATAGAGCCTCACACGTATGGCTCCTAATGTACATTTGAGTTTGTCAGGTTGCATGATTGTGTGCCATGGTCCAAATTCCCTGTGTTGGTTGTAGTCATGCCGTAACCAACCCTTTACAAAGATTCTTCCATGGTAAACATGCCTCTCACATGGTTGATGGCCACCTGATCAAACGCAAGTGTAAACTTCAGAAGTGTTCAGAGCATGCGTCTTTTGCTGGCTGATTGATCAAGTGCGGCGCGTGACATAGTATTTGTAAGAACTCGGCCTGGTGTTTGACCTCTATTTCGACAACACGCCTAAGAAACGGCTGGCTCAACAAAAACGCCATGATGTTTCTTTTTCCGCACTCCTGGCACTTCGTATTGTATCATCAATACCCTTCTCTTCATAGCTTAGCACTCCAACTGTGGCAAACTTGCCCCGCCGGTCGACCAACAAATCTGCCCGAAAAAGCAAAAAAGTAGTGTGTGCTGACCGAGCAAGGCGTACAGCCTCTTTTCCACCACGCACTCAATGAAATCTGAGTCGCGGGCGGCAACGCCGCAAGAATGGCACACTCACGAGCTCGTCTGTGAGAAGCCTGAACAGCTCAGAAATCGCAGAGGGATACTAGATACACACTGTCATTCAGGGGTTGAAGTAGCCGACCTAGCTCGTTCAAAGGGACACAGTATCAAATCTTAGCGAACCACCCGGCTACTTGAACCAGTCCCTCCTGGACATCTAAACCAGAGCAACACCATTCCGACAAGACATTCAACATCAAAAGCATTCAGTGTCTTAACTGATTGACCTGTCAAGTCGCTGATCAGCTGGATTGAAAAGAACTTGTAATTGACCATTCAACGATCAACCGAAGAAGTGTCTGGCTGTGAGAACACGCTCCGCAACTTTTCCATCATTGTAGGCAGAATGCACTTAGATTTCCTACGGCGCTGGGCGTGGGGCGAACATGCCACATGCCATTGCGAACCTCCAAATTCACTGCTCCCCCCCTCCCTTTTGCCCCCCGCAAACCGCCAGACCCCACCCGACCAAACCGATTCTCATTGGCTCCAATTGAAGTGTGCAAAATTAGGGATCCGAAAGTGAGTAAAGATCAAACAGCTGTTAGAAATCATTCAAGGGGAGTCGTGCCCAACTTTTGGCAAAAAAAAGCAATCAAACGCTCTCTCCTGCCTGATGATGACTTCTGTGAGCATTTCTGAACAGCGGGGGTAGTCCAGGCTGAGGTCAGACACCGAGCCTCCAAGCCCAATCCGAGCGAGTGTGTCAATGTTCTGAGCGAAGCATCATCAACAATACATTTTCTGGAAACGAAGGCTACGTTTTCTTCCAATTCGATTGGAGATGCTCAGTTACGACAGGCTTGGTTCCATTCCCTGGCGGATCAAAGTGCTTTGGCATCCAATGACAGAGGCATACAACCGCAAGCCCACCGTTAACGCTTTTGCACCCGGGATGCCGAGTTCCTTGTCATTAAGAGTTCTGCCGATAAGATGCATGACCTTTTGACCCAGCTCTGCCAAGCGTTGCTTCCACGCTTTACGCCTCATCCCAACAGATTCACTGCTAATTGAGGGATTCTCCGCCAGGTCGGACACACCTACCAGTGATGAGTCACAAAGGAATCATACACAATCATGAATCACAGTGGTGCAAGGACCCTGCATGCAGGCGATGGGAAGCGAACGTCTAAGCTGCCTGCTGTATGCTGACTGGACCTTTGACAAGTGTCTAAAGGATGCTACACCACTCACTCCTCAAATGCAAACTTCTTGAAGTGTCTTAGGTCAGATCTTGTAAACCATGATGGTGCGGCACTCACGGTAGTACTGCTGCACAATGGTCAGAAACTTGTGGTTCCAGAATGGCCTTTCGAAGCTTCACCCCAATCTGCTCTGGCTTGTTGGAGCTCACCCACTTCCAAATGGCACACGCTACTGGCTCCTTCCTCAAAAGCTCTCGCCTGTTGGCCTGTTGGGTGTTGAAAGACCTCACCAATCTGCACCGCAAATACATTGACTCACCCTATCCGCACAACCCATCAACGCCACTAATCATTTTCGCCGAACCCATCATAGCTGCACTCCCTCTACAAGTATGAAGTGACGATAAAAACTATGGTGAACTCCCGTGCCCGGCCCAGCAGTCGTGTGGTACCCCACCTCGGCAGAAAGCAAGCGCAGGTCTCGATGACGGGATGGGCTTTAGGGGAGTCAACATGACACCCAGCATCATAGTCTGGAAAAGATCTACTCACTTTCAGCAGGAGACAACACCCACAGGCCCACAAGGAAAGTCAGCAGATCGGACTGCAAGCAAGTCTGGAGTTTGTGCAAAAGAAGGGCTTGGTTGGCACATTGAGCGCAACGAAATCACTGCAAAAGCTTGTTCGGATGGCCGGCCCCGGAATCAAGGGTAAGGCTGAACGAAACACACACACACACACACACCACACACACACACACACACACACGGGTCCTTCTAGGAAACAAACCTTGCACAGAAGCAAAGGCACTTCTTGCGCAAATTTGACTTCACAGCTGCGCAATAAGGTGTGCAAAGCTCTGTTTGCGGATTTCAGCCTTCTCAGACACAACTGTCTCCAAAGCTTTTGCCGGTCTGTTGCAGGTACAGAAACATGCTAAGACAAACAACATGCTAAGAATAGAATGCCGGCGAACTGGACCAAGAAACCACATAGGAGAAGTGTTCCCTGAGTTCGTTCCAGCTGGTGTGGTCTGCTCGTGCCTGACTAGCCTAATATGGTTGCTGATGTTTCAGCTGTATGCTTCCCAACGTTGTGCGTAACCTTTCGCAGGACCAGAAGGGCTTGCATCAGGGCATGCTCCACTGTTGCACAAAAGGGTGACTGGGGGCTGCTGCGGATAGTTTTCAAGAAGAGAACTAGCATGTCAAAAGTGAATTCATGGGCCCAAACGGGTTCGACGATCGCGATGCTCAGGTCTGCATCCGCGAGCTGAGCCGCAGGCTGGATGTCATCCTGACGAGTCGATTCTGCGGCCAATTCTGAGCCCAAAGCTGGGGCCCTTGGGCCAAGGCCATAAATCCATTTCTCGCAAGCTGTTTTGTGTTCACTTGCAGGTACCATCAAAAGCTCTGCAAACACTGCGCGAGTTATGTAGCAATGCCCTACCGGCCATCGGAATGCATTGCATGCAAACAGCTATGTAATGGAGCCAACAGGGCCAAAACGCTCATCGTGACACCATAATATTGTCATATTACGAAAGTGAGGGTCCACAGGTGAGATCTTTCATATACGGAACAGCATTGCAAGTATTGCAATCATTGCCCACTTTACGCATGCCTCTTGGAGTGCTGTCATCTTGCCGCCACTATGGCCTGTGCTAGGCCAGAGGGCCCCCTTTGATGGTCTTTCTTGTGGCCTTATACATCTCAGTTGGTGTGCTGGATGTGCAGCACTTGACTTCACTTTTCGTTCAAGTATTGGATGGCCCTGCCTTCTTCGCCACCCCAATCCCTAAGCTTGGTTTTGCCTGGCTTTTGGCTGCCTCGACTTCGACTTCGCTTGTTCGTTGTGCGGCGTTTTGTTCGATTACATGTCATGTCCACTTGCTCGCTGATCCGGCCCTTCGATTGACCTATGTGTTAGGATTAGGATGGGTATAAATCGCGTACTCTGCATGGGTGGCTACGGCTTCTTGGAAGCTCTGATCCTATTTCATCTAAGAATCAGACATGCAGTGCGAACCTTATCTGCTACTTGGGAATTCTATTGGCGTGTGCAGCGGTTTGCAGGCGGCCATGCTCTATTTTCAGATTTTTATTGGTTCTCTGTTACGCATCCCCTTTTGTCGAGGTCGAGGAGGTCTTGCAGTGGTCACTGACTCAGTGTTTGCTTGTTTAGGTATTGATCGTATTTCTTTTTCGACGGAATGTGGGGCTGCTACCGACTGACAGGTTCTGACGACATCTCCTATTTATAGTTGGAGCCGTGGATGGAGGACATATTTCCTGTCTCAGGATCTGCGCGTCTCGGAGGAGATTTACGCTTATTGAGCAGCGCAAGGGGCATACGCATAGTGGTTGCAATTTATGGGATTGGCGACGATCTGGCGTACTGCGAAGTCGCTCCCGTTCTACATTTGCAAAGCAAATTCGCCTAATTACGTGCAGCGACGGTGATACTCACAGGAGCATTACCTTGCGGCCTTGATTGGCTTTCTGCTTGGTCACGACAGGGACTCGGACCTTGGTGTGATCTGCTTACATTTGTGACCCCATGGATCACCGGATGGTGGCTGATTTGGTGGTGCGAAGAAAATTGCTTCTTCTCTTTTGCTGGGTTGCCGATGTTGGATATGGGCTGAGCTCCTTTTCCGTACATAGCTGCTGGCGCGGGCGGTGTAGTGATTCGGGCATTTGTTTCACCTGAATTCAGTTTCTCACCTGTGTGGAGGCCTTGGCCACTCTTTTCACACTGTCTCTATGACGCTTACCGGTTGAGACCCACATTCCAGGGTTGTTTTTCACCTGCTAGGGTTCCGTTTGGCAGTCATGAGACACCCGTTTCCAAGTCCGAGTCACAGTTTGCCACGGTAGATGGACTTGTCTGTCCAGTACGCGTGACGGGCAGCTTAAAGCTCCCTGGTGTCGAAGCGTGTTTTTGGTTGTTTGTTGGTCTTCTGTTTTGTGTTTTGTGTTTTGTGTTTTCCTTTTTTGGTGCCAGTTTTTCTTCGACACCTTTAGTTTAACTGCATCCCTTGTGCTACAACAGCGGACTGGCGTGATCGCAACAGCCACGTGGTTCAAAAAACACAAAGTCTGGCACGGCATGCTTGAGACGCACTCATATATTAAAAGGTGTCAGCCACGTTGACGCTCGTGAATGCTTAAAATGCACTCACGATACCCGCCATCTAGCTTGTAAGGGGCGACCAGGCCGCGCACGAGATGCTACTCGCCTGCAGAGTTGATTGTCCAAGGTTCATATTATACATAGCACATTGTTTGATTTTGGCCTTTTGCCAAAATGCTGGGATGTATACCTGGCTCAAACATTGGAAGTTCACCACGGCAAAACCATGGGCCCCCTCCCGCTGAAAATGCTGGCTGCTTTTCTGTTTTACAAAGTTAAATGTGCGCTCGCGTGTCGTCCGCTGTGTCTTTTAGATCTTCAAGGCGAGCAACCCTGTTTCCACCCCCGCACCACAAGTGCTTTTGCGCTTCTTTCTGGGTTCTTCGGCCAGTTGTCTTTTTGTCTTTTTTTGCGGGTGAGGGGTCCCTGTTTGGGGACTGAAGATCCCCCAAACAAGTCAGTCAAGGAGCCAGCGCAGCAGTCTTCATACGCAGAGCTGAGGAAATGGTCTTGAGGGGTGGGCAGCTTATCGTTTGGAAGGCACGATAAGCTCTTGAGCCGGTGCTCCGATCATCTGGCAGGCGTGTGTGCGGTGCTGAGCGGATGCTCTTGAGCTGGTGCACTTGTCACTTGGAATGCGTGTGTGTGTGTGTCTGCAGTGCTGAGCGGGTTCGCTTGAGCAGGTCTGCTTACCATTTGGCAGGCATGCGCGCAGTGCTGAGCAGGCGTGTTCATCATGACAACGCTTTCGCGCCTCAACCGCACCCCTGGGCTAAGAGTCAGTGAGGGAATCCAACGTGGCGCGCGCGCGCCCAGGGGCGAGGGTGGAAACAGGGTCGGGTACGCAGTTCAACCGTCCAAATGGCTCTCCATACATTATATGCTATTCATGTGTCGAACAGTGTATTGTACGCATAGAAAATACATTAAAATCCTGGGGCATACACGGCAAACGCAAACAGCACCTTGCGAAAGCATTTGGCACTTGTGGGCATCGTTGACATGGGACAAAACAGCACTAGCACAGCACTGATTGACACCCTAAGCTAGCACACTCTTTGCGCAACATTATGGAAACTGAGGTCAAACAAGTCAAGATTGTCTGCTTGCGTACGGAATGCAGAGTTTGGGATGCGCAACGTTCGAGATGCGCTATTTGGGAACACCAACATTGAAGACAGCCACGCGTGACGCCCAAACAAAACCGCAAGACACATTGTCGGAGGCCGATGTCATCAACATGCAACATGTTGACACCAAAATGTGCTTGTAAGTCGTTCTGCAGTTTTTGAAGTTCTGCTACTGACTTTACTTGACTTTCCTCTGGGGCGCCGAAAGTGATGCTGCCATCTCCCTTTGCCCGCGTTGGTGCAGCATCTCACTTGTCAGCTACTCTTTACCTCCATGAATTGCACATCTGTCGGGCAAAATTGGTCTCACACAATGCAAGCTGGGCCAGCCTTTTGTGAACAGAAATATGATCTAAAATGAAAATGGCCAACATTTTTTGCCAAGTCCGGAAACATCTTGTCGGCAGCTGTCATTTTAATACTGCGTAGGTTCTCTTCATTTTTTCTGTAGGAGGCTACACGACTGTGCTAAGAGCTCTCCCAGCAACACCAGCCAAGAAAACCTGATTTGTTCCATACGAGATGCCAAGCTCAATTACCTCCAATACCCTGAGAACTGATTTTGAACAGGCCTTCAGATGGCTTCTCTCGGCAAGACGTGAACCCGTGTCCTTGGAGAGACCCGCCTCCCTGCTGAGAGCCGTCAGCAAGGTCAGGACTGCCTACGGGGTCGGAGCTTCACGGCAAAACACAAACTGGCACGGAGACGAAAGCAGGAAGGCCAGCGTTTCTGTTTCACAAGTAATGCCTTTGTTGATCAACTCTAGAACCTGTAGAACATGTGAGCTGTGTGAATGCAAACTTGATAAACTACCTACGTCAACATTGAGCAAACTTAATCACCTCTGTCGCCGTGTTCCTGGCTTATCTTTTATGCCAAGTTAAAACCCCCAAAACTGGTTCCAAGCAATATGAGCAAAATGCAGTATGGGAACCTGTTTTCTCCCCTCAGCTTCCTGGCTCAGGCTAAGTGAAAACTAAGTCCGGGAAAAAAGCAAGACATACCATGTATCAAAGCCCGAGCCTTTTATTTTAGAAGGGAGGTTTATTTGAGCCCTTCTCAGCTCAGAGGCTCGAGTTCTTAGATATAGGAGGCTCAATCTTGCAAGCGGTCCCGAAATCATCAAAATTTAAGATTACTTCTTGAACAACATGTCAGACCCTCTCAGACCCTTCCCAAACCCCATCCCCAAATTTGTCCTTCCGACTCCGATCCGTGTCGCACAACCCAAACCCATGCGGCCTCCAGCCCCTGTGAAGCACGTCCCATCCAGCCGCCACACGCAATTCCCCCCACAAGCTAAATTGCCTAAAAACCGGACAAGTTTTCTTCCTGGAGACCGGTCAAATTCTACTTGGAAACCGGTCAAAATCCCCTTGCACACCCGACGAACCAGTCAAGTTCCCCCGGTCCAATATCTTACTGGCCGAGGCGGGCAACGCGAAGCGTGTACAATTGTCTAAAAGCAGAGAGGCCGTGCTGGACATCGCGGAATCTGCGGCATCCTGAGTTGCTTCTTAAAATTGAGGGCTAGATCAACACCTTGGTATAGACTGTATAAATCTATATATCACATATATATATATATGTATGTATGTATGTGTGGTTTCATATTGATTCCCCGGTTTCAAACATGCCAACAACAGCTTGGGTTGTCTTCCCAACTAATCAAAAGGATCTCGATTGACAATCACCATAATTCGAGATCCACACCTTTCGATTCAACCTTCGTATCTGCGGCAAACGAATGCCCAGTGCCATCCCTCAGCCAATGCCCCCGCCTCCCGACCAGCCAACTCTGTGGGCTGGGAGAAGGACATGATCACTGCCTGCGCACGGGCTTCATTTGATGGTCCACTCTCCCCACAAGTTTACAACAAAATGAAGGTGTAGTACTTACAGCCAGCAACGTTAGACAAATGAAGAGAGCCAGCACTTCCAGCCATGCATTTCCAATACATTGGCGGCATCAGCTGCATAAGATGAGTTCAACACACTTGATCATTAGACATTGAAGGTCCATGAGTTCATACATCAAGGACCTGCAAAGATCAAACAAAAAACGAGGTATCCTTACAGCCGGTGATGGCCGAAAATCAGATACGCTTCAAGCCATTCCCACTGTCGAACACCCACCAACAAGAGTGCCATTGTGGAGAATGGGTCAAACTTCAGAGCTGTCAGCCATTTAGAGGCTTGCCTCCAAGCAATCCTGTTCCATGACCAAAGTTCTATACAAAGAAAACGCGGTCGCAGGATTGCTGCGGAGTTCCATTCCGTGTTTTCGAATGGTCCCTTGCCCCTTTGCATATGAAGTTAAATGCTCTCAAATAGTTGTTCGACACGGGAGGTGCCAGTCCCAGGGTTTCATGAATCTGAGGTTCCGGCGGCACGTTTTCTGGCAACAAGTAGTCGCTCTTCGATCAATGTAAGCATGCATGCGGCAATGCCGAGGACGAGATGCATTGATATTGATGTGAGCTTGGTTTGCATGAAACAGCTAGAAGCTTGGTTTGGCAGAATCCTTCACTTCCATCGGCAACTCAAGGCTACATCTCAACAAGCTTGGCCTCCTGACGGCCACATCTCAGTTCTGACAGGTACCGCGATGTTTTGTTTGAAGCACCTGCTCAAGTGAAACGCGAAATACACCTGCACATATTCATTCTGCGGTTTCCAACGTGGTTTGGCAAAATATAATCTATTCAACGCTGGGCGTTGCCAACCCTTCTACAACGATCAACAATTACAAGTTGTGAAGCAAGGTCGTAGATCATGATATCAAGGACATATCATATAACTTAGGGAGCACCTGTGCGACCGCAGTAGTTTGAATCAACAAACTGCAGTACCGCACTTTGTAATTGCTTGCTTCTGAAATCTTTGGCAGCTTAGCGAGGCGTGGAACCATGAGTCCTCTAAAGGCGTCGTGTTTTCCTAGCATACCAAAGGTTGCGTTTATTACTAACCCAAAAACACACGCCCAAATTCCCAACAAAAAAGGCACCGGCACCAAAACAAGGGATTGCTCTAAAAGGGATTTGTCAGGCATGCAAGCTTCCCCCAAGCTTGCATGCGCATACCATTGCCAATGGGAGGGCAATACCTGTTCGCCTTGCGCACTCGCCTAGTTAGACTTGCATGAGGATGTCTCAACACCGGGAGTGTGTTTTGGGATGTTTTGAAAGGGAAAGCAACTGCCAGCCATTTGGAATGTTCCTGAGTCCTTTCCCGCTCCAACCTCCGAACTGTTGCTTCAGATGTGATGAGTCATGAGAAGTCGCCTTGCCTCGCATTGAATCCGGATCAGCATTTCCTGGGAAGGCCTGGACTGGTTGCAAAATTCAGACCCATACGTACCAAGCCGTCATATGTACACTGATACACATATACAAACATGTACTTGTTATATTTTGTCATTTCCAAAAAAAGGACCTCACCCTGACAGCTGGTTACACCTCAAACAAAGGTGTAACCCACAGTGCGAAGAGTATCTACTTGTTTCAACACTCCTGCGCTTTGTTGTCTTCCATGAGCCTACTGAGAAGATTCGGCCTTTTTCACAAACTCGTGGTGGTATGGCTTCATGTTCAGCTCCCGCAGAACGGTGCCCACCTGCCCGCGGAGGTTTCTTGAGCACGGTTGAAGGGGAGGGGGGTAATGTCAATCCCATCCACCTACCCTATCAGGAGCAGCATGCGATGACATATCAGAAGGAATGGTGCTCCCGACCTTGAACTACCCAGGCTATCTGCTGGCTACTGACGACACGCAGCTCGTTGACAAGTGTGGCTCAGACTGGCAAACACAAGAGTTTGACCATCAGCATTAGCTTAGCCCCGCACAAGCGTCTGCTAGAGGTCAAGGAGATCGAGCAAAGCAAGTCAATTAACTTCGTCGCAGCCAAGAATGGGCTATCGATTCCTATCCATGGTCACACGTCGATGCAGACAGGAACACCACAAACTCTGATGGGATGGTGGACGTCTGCGCCCATTGTTTTGCGTGAGGCAGGTTACATGTTGACATTCGCATTCATGCTACCCCGAACTAGAATAACAGCTGGATCTGCAGGGAAAACCCCTTCCAATGCAGTTGAAGGAGAATGCCCCTGCAACAGTCACAATTCGCTGCAGCTGAAGCAGGATAGCCGCTTAAATGCCCCCCTTTTCCACACTTGGCTCGCTCCGTGAGGCAACATACTTGAGGCCAACTCGGAAGACCCATGAAGCCATTTCCATCGGCAACCATTGATAAAACGTCAGGATTGTTTAGAGACCCGATGACTTAGAATGCCCCGTTTCTATGACTCGTCGTAACATGCCGGTCATCATTGTTTCAAACGTAACCGTAACATAGCGAGCAATCGTCACAACTGAAAGTAATCACTCCTTAGGTTGCAAAACTACACCCTTCATTGCCCATCACTTCGTCATTTGCTGCCCCTGGCGCGTCTTGTAGCCGATTTCAGGCGTGGACGCTGGCCGGCATCAAGGGGAGGCACAGGGCAACTCCGGTGATTTCTGTCTGATATTTGGGGGGTTGGCCATTATTCCTGACCCCCAAATGTGGGTAACTGTTTGATCTAGTTTGACCTATCACATGTTTGGCGGCTTTTCCAAGTCCAATGGTCATCCCATGTATCACGGACCTTTTGACCAACCCTATGCGCGGGATGGCGTCGCCTCCTCGGCATTCAGGCTGACATAGTACTCCTCGATGCAGCGCTGGGCTGCTTGCTTGAACCCCTTCAGCTCCTCGGATGAAAGCACGCGGAAGGGGCGAACGGAATGGATATAGGGTGAACGAAAAACCGGCATGCTATGTCAATTTGAATCTCAAACAATAACATGCTCATAGCGGACCAAACCATCATACACGCAAAACTTGTGGTTGAGATGGTAGCCGTCTTCCACAAAGTGTGAAGTGCTCAACAAATCTGATGGGGCATCTTGGAATCATCAGACAACTCTGTCAGAAGTGTTGCGCTGCACAAACAATGAAGCAACACCAACATCAGAATCACAACGCAACACCTTTGAATTGTGCCTGCTCCGGATGCTAGTTGTAAACTCGTTAATTCCCCCCCCGCCCCCCCCAAAAAAAAGAGAGTGTATTAACTGAACCGTCCAAGAAGAGTCCTGGGGTCCCTAAATCAAAAAGAAGCAAGGCTCACATGGGACACCCGCAACACACTGCTTAGTCTGTGTGTGTGTGTGTGCGTGCGCACGCGTGCGCGCGCATGTGCTGTCCTGAAACGTGGACGACAAGGTTCACAGAGCAGGGGGCAGCAGGGACTCAGCACGCCGAGGTGACCTTGTCAGAATATCAAAAGGAGACGTTACGTGCGTGGAGTTGTTGCTTACACACAGGTCGACATGGCACGACTCTTGCTAAACATGTACACGCATGTTTTGGACCAAAGCGTTCAAGTCACAACTGAGCCAAGGTACAGAAACCGTCTTCGACAGCATATCGCGGAAGTCGCCGGACAGCAAGCCCTGTGCACGTGGCAGAGAGATGGTGATTGTGAGCATCAGTTTTCCTTGAGGTGGCAGGAGGGCACAACTACGTGCGGGGAACTTAAAACACAAATACAACGTCATTGCAATTGCTTCTCCCTCGCTGGACGGTTCATTCCGCTGTCTGGGGTTCGGCTGGCTGATTCCGCCAGGCTGAGTCCGCCGTCTGGGGCTTGGCTGAACGGCTCACGACTTGGCTGGCTGATTCTGCAAAGTGTTGCCAAGACAAAGCACCCGAACAAGCCCAAGGCAGGGAAGAATAACAATGCCAAATCAAATTGAATGACAGTACTCAAACAGCCGTTCCCCACCCCCCCCCCCCGGAAGGGGCGGAAGGGGGCAGAGGCAGCCGGACTAGCAAGCTGATAGTGGAAGCGTGCGAAGTAAAACACCTCAACCCCATGCACCAGTGCCAAATCACCGCTGAATAAAGATCAGCCGGCAGTAGACCAATAGTAAAGCAATACTTAGAGATAGTATACTACACCAATACTCAGCCAGCAAGAATCTCTGAGGTCCTCATATGAATAGCCACATTCCCATTGTCACCCTTCTTGAATCAATGGCATCACTTTAAGAGGATACAAAGCCTGCAATATAGATACTGATCATATAGTTTGAGCTTGATATTCCAAGCACAGGGCTTGACACCGGCGAGCACTCGGGTTTTTCGATGGCCCTTCCAACAGGCTGCCATCCACTCTGCCTCTTCACAGGCAAGGCCGGCGCGAAGCAATGTCTCCTGGCAGCCCCCCGCGGCATTGGGATCGGGTGAAGCGGCAGAGGGAATCTCATTGACCACCCTCCCAGTAAACATGGCGCCTGACTGTTGGGGTCCTTTTACAAGAAAAATGGTCTTCCAGGACCCCCCCCTGTTAGGTTTACGGCCATGCAGTTAAAACGCTACGTTGCCACTGGGCGGGGCTTCATATGCCAGTTGCATGTCGAATATGAACGCAAAACACCAGTGCTCATTGATGCAGGTCACAGCAAGAATGCGTGCGGTATGAAAGTGGACCATGGATCCGCAGGCTCAACCATGAGCAATATATTCAGAGTTCGTGACCAACAGCCTGTCGGCACAAAAATGAGCCCACAAGTCTGGAGGAGAAGCTCACCTGAAAAGCAGCTCCACGAAATGTGGCCATTGATCAGCCCAGGGACAATTGCCATTAATTGGAAGCCATTGCTTGGGCCGTGCCCACTATGCTCGGTTGCTTTCTGCTCCCCTGCTACAAGTTTAACTTTTAGTGGTTCAATCCGGAAAACCCATTGGTTGGCAAAAAGTGAAAGTCCGAAGATCCCTTGGCAAAATGCACCGGGCCCCCAAAGCTTTGCAGGGCCGGCCGGAAGCTTTGTGAGAAGCTTCATCTCGATGCAGCCGACCTCCGCTGAGGCGCGGCGCAGATGCGCGGTGTTGAAACATGAATGTTCCGTCGTAGCTGGATGATGCACATGGGTGTGGGTCAAAATTAAACCACCAGGGGACCACAGGTTTTAGTTATTGCTTTCATTTACCAGGGGGCCATTTTGGGTACCTATTTTTGACCCACAGCCACATAAAGCCTTTCAGGAAACAAACGCAAACTGCACTAGGGCCTCTTTACGCTGTGGGAATGGATTCTGCTCCGGGGGACACCAGGATTCCTGTGAAAGGGATTGTGGGAGACTCATACAGGAGAACCCCCTCATTGAGAAACGTGTCAACTTGGAGATATTAGACAAATCCAAACTGAGACTCATGCTGATATTGCCATATCATGTCTATCGTCAACACGTCTCCTCCTACCCAAAACTTAGTGTGTCTGTTGAAATTGAAATAATTCTCCGTCACTAAAATTTGGCACCTCCGGTGATAACTATTGCAGATACCTAAAAGTAGATGGCACAATTGTTCGGTAGATTTTATGGTGGATGGTGCACAATTTTACCATCTACTCGTGGGCTTGTGCAGTAGAAAATCAAGTGTTGTTGTGCCATCTTTTTTGTAACAAACATCAGCCCCAGATTTGAGCTCGGTGTATTTCGGCACTTGCGCCGGATTCTGTCTCCAGCCCCTCCCCTGCAGTTGGAGAGTAAATTGCATAATTTGGATGCCAAGCGGGTGAGCAAACAAGTCCGACGCACATTTGAAAAGAACGGTTGCCTGCAACATTATGCCATGTGTATGGCAAATATTGACCACAAACAAGGGGTGTCAAAAGTATGCATCTACCTTGCTCCTGTGGTTGATCCGAAATGTTCGGAGGTTCAACGAAATACGCTATCTACTTTCTCTGTTTTCTTGAAAGTGCGAGGGAACCTGTGTGCGTTCAATTGGGGACTCCGGGGGCCTCAGGTCTTGTCAGGGACTTGGTGCAAGGTCGAAGGGGAAACAAACGTAAACAACAAATCCAACATAATCAGCTTTTAACAAACACGCACACATACAGGGCTTGAACGTCACATGGAAAAACCCTTCACAACAAAACACGGAAACTGGCAACGAATAGATGACGCACTCTGGGGAAATGCGTGAAACAGAAAAACAATACCAGTCAAAAAAAGCAAGCCTCAACACGGGAATGGGACAAATAGCTGGCACAATTCACTTGGGAGCTGTCTAGGGGCAACTGTTCGGGAAACACGCAAACATGGCACACAACCAAACTAAGATTCAGTTTCAAACTAAGTATTGGCTCAGCATGTGCCATCTACTATTAATTAAAGTCAAAAACACCTCCAACAATTGTGCCTCAAGAAGTAAAGAGTGCCATCTATGTTTGTGCTGTGTGTTGTGCTTGTCCTGAAGGCTTCTACAAAAATGCGCCATCTATGTTGCGGTCCCCGTTTGGGCCCAACATGGGCAAAACCATCCACCCTAAGAGCTGCCACAATCTGCTATTTGTACAGAATCGAACACATTCCCCAAGCAGCCTGATTCAATCAGTCCTGTATCTATCTGGTGCCCGTAAAAAGAGCAGAACTACGAGCTCTGAATAGCTCCATCGCGACACAAGTAAGAAGAATCACATGAAGCTCAGGGTCATGACGATGGCCATTCAACAAGTACACTGTGAATTGGGCAGTTGCACTTTTTGCATCAACAAACATTATGACAGGCCAATAGCATGTGCTTTTGCGCTTAAGCTCATGTAGTTGGAGAAGGTGGTAGAACTAGCTGGTATCATTTCAGCTTGGAGAGGCTTGTCAACTCCCGCCCAGCAAACGAGACGTAGAATTCGGAGCAACTCGGAGAAATTAGAAACTCTCAGCCTCTATGCATCCCTGAAGGATCTCCAGGATGCCCTTCTCGGCATAGGGAGCATCAATCTTCAGGTCCTCACACGGCGAAGAGGGCGGAAGCTGCCACCTGGATCCTTGGTAAAGAATGCACTTACTATACAAACGCCACTTAAGTTGGTCATTCAAACTACCGGAAAATCATGCCGAAACTTATTACAAAAGCAGCTTGCGCAAAATCGGCCCACCTCTTCTATCACAAGTTAACAACGAAAAAAAAAAAAAAAAAAACATACATGAACAATGCAAAGGCCAACCAAAAGCGAACAGCCCCAAGAAAGGCACGCGGGAGTTGTCACCCCACTCCTCCAGGGTGCAAAATATTTCTTCGAAGCTGCGGATCAAGGCTGACCGGTCCAAGCTCTTCGACCTGCACGACCACCGCTCGACCACTGCGGTCGAAAAGATCAACGCGAAGTGGGTGCGAAGTGGCAATTTTGGATGGCTGATCTTGAAAAAGAGTTCAGCACAGAATCCTCCGACAACAAAACACAGCATCAAATGAACCACACAGTGATGCTTTGGTGTGTTTTTAAATGCGTCTGAGGTCCATTGATTTAATATAGATCTGCAAAAAGCGCGGTCTGTCTCTGTACTGCTCTTTCGTCGCTAGCCTCACTCAGGGTGCCAAAGGCTCCTGCAAGTGACAGTCAGAAGGATCCCGTCACGCCGGAGCCCTCCAATGGGAAGCCAGACGCAACACCCTGCCCCAATTCACACGAGCGGAAAAAAGGTCTAGGGCCTAGGCTCTGTGGCTGTTGATCTGAGAGGGTGCACCTTTTGAGTCGTTTTCGGACAACACTGGGCCCCACAAGTGCAGCGTTACTCGTGGGGACCCTGGATTTGGGCTCAAAGGGTCGCCCTCGCCTGCTCAGGGCGTCGAACAGCTTCACCACCGCTGTAGAGGCGTCCTCGAAAAGCCGACGTTGATCTGATGACTTCCAAGCCCAAACCGACGGCCAGGTGGTCGCTGCTTCGCTTTGCAGCAGCGGACGGGTCACGTGACAAGTGCCCAAAGCGGATGCAGTAATCAAGATATTGCCCGTCAGTTTGCACATGTGCTTCGTTGGTTCAATCGAAGCATCAAGCTCTCTAGCATACCCTGTTAACCTGGTAGTCATGGGAGGATCAGGAGATCCACAAAATGGGAGTGGTTGCCTCTGTGCGACAAGTCTTGACAGCCCTTCACTTCGTTGAAATCTCTGTGAAATCATTAAATGTTCACCAGTACCCGCAGCATCTCTCAGGCCATGCATTTGCCAGCATCTCATACAGGTCAGCTCCTGCTCACTGGGTCCTTTGAGGGATTCACCAAGGAAACAAGCAACTTCGGTGGGATGCCATATGCGTCGCGATGGGCCTTCCCTTGGTCCAGGGCGACCTGGATTGCCACTACCCCCAGCTCGTCAGCCTGGCCGGCTGCAAAGAACTGCAGCTTGAAACCTCATCATGAGACGGCGATAATCAACACAGCTCTGCAAGCCAAACCAACCTCTCAAAAAACAAGCCCTTTGACACTTGGACACGGACGAGGGAGGGCAGCCAGCACACCTCTGCTGTATCGCAAGAACACTCACAAAAGGCCCCTTGCCGAAGTTGAGATGGTGAGTTGACCAGATCTTTGACTGCCAGTCCGCAGCCTGAACGTGCAGCAACCAACTCTTGCTTCAAACTCAGGTATGAGTGAACATCTTCCAAGAAAGCAATGCCTTACTGCCGGCAATTCTGCCACCTCAACTTCTTGGTCAGCACTATTCTCGGCCAACTTTCTCTCTCGGGCCTTTCCACCACTAAACGACAGTGCGTTCAGCGCAGTAAACAACCAGTCTCAGCCAAAAGAACAAATCTACCTCCCCAAACCCTTCCAAGGATTCTCCTGTTTGTGACTCTGTGACCGATATGACCATAGGCACTCGCGCCTGTGAGGGGCAGGCAGCCAGCAGCTCCTGGGCCTTGACACCCGCAAAAGCGATCGGATGCGTCTAAACCCAAAGGACTGTTCACGCACCGACTGCCTGAGCAGAACACAACAAGTTGCATCCACGGAACACCGGACTTACTCTGGGAGACTGACTTCAGCTATTGGATGAAGCCACATCAGTGTTGCTATCTGGTGCCCATTCACAAAAGGAAGAAACATGTGTCTGTGTGATTGAACGCAAGCACATAATACATATTCATGTACAGTATGGACTATGTACAGTGTACATGTATGCACATACGCCACGTGGTAGGAGTGTATGCGCAATGATGCAACACCAAGCTCGCAAATAACATTGAGCTCAAGTTGGTGTACATGGATCTGACTGTGCAGCCTCTTGGTCGATACTGGCGCCTGCAAATGCCAAATCCTCAGCAATTGTTTCTTCCTGTGAGTTCCCTCCTTGCCCGAAATCACATTCAGCTTCCGGCGGAGAGCACCGTGTCATCCAGCGCAAGAGACACATAGTACCTTCAAGCCCGGGTTCACTTCAGCAAGGCATCGGGCATTGTGGGTCTGACACGAACCGTAAGGATGTAGATCCATCCTGCAAAATGGACCAGACGGTCTCAAGCGAAGTAATTCTATCACTATCCAGAGCTTGAAATGATGGCAATGATGAAGCAACCGCTACTCCACATAGAGGCATTATTCTAGTGGAATGTCCGTGGATAGGGAGCCAAACCCTGTTCGCTAAATGAAGCATGAGATGCTCATGCAAACCTCACTGAATTTGCCCTCCCCCCTTCAGCCAACACTACTGTAGCCAAGGGACATCCTTCTGTAAACACCCTTGCCAGATTTAAGGAGAGGATGGGGTGCAAATCTGAACTTCCTATAAAGTTCGCTCGCATCTTCGCTTGGCCGAACGTCAGCTGTGCTTGATGTGACTCAACAGTTCCCTGCAAAAGAGCGGACACGTAACCAAACAGAGTCTCTCAAACAAACAACAATGCGCGATTTTCATGCTCCGTCTATTTCAAGGACAAAGTGCTCTGTTCTGCCGTGGAAAAACATGGGGTTTGGAGCTCGGACAACACTGGCTCCAAATACATTACACACCGCACGTAGTGCACTGTCCTGCCCCGGGCCCTTTCCTCGGGCCCGAGTTGCAATGAGAAGAAACGTAAGCGGGCGAATTAGTGGTGCGCCACACACATTGGCAGACCGTGCCCCTTGCTTGCCATACATTGGAGCAACAAGCCCCAAGAGGGTGAATCAAGCCCGATGGCGTCACTCCAAGAGGACGCTCTTGGCCTTCTCCTGGAACCTGCAGCCAATTTCCGAATTCCAGACTTGCCGGCCACGCCTCATGAAAAGTGGTGGTCCGCTGAACATTCACCTGAAGCCTAAAAAAAGGGGTGCCAAACGAGTCCTTTGGAAAGCCTCCTTGCCCTTGCAGTGCGGAATCGACTGTCCTTCAGTGCCAAGCGGAGAATCTCACGCAGCTAACACCTTCACACATGGCCAAACAGGCCCTGGGAGTAGCACGAAGATCAAAGGAAGCCTCTAAATTAAATAGCCCGTGGCCGAGGCGGGCAGCGCTAAGCGTTTACAATTTGTTGCCTGTAGAAGCGGTGAGCGGGTCGGCCTCAAATGACTTTGCGGGGTGACCCAGCAAAATACGGATAGCATGCCTGCGCCAAAACCAGGCATCGGGTTGCCCGAATTCCATGTTACAGGGCACTATCTTTGAAATCAAGGTATAGCACCATTGGTGCACGCGTCCAAATACCCTCAGCAGTGATTGTAGTGCAGTGATTGCATATGATTGCATCCTGGATCATCCCCCGTTTCACCCCATGTTTCATACTTGTCTGTCAGAGAAAACATGACATGGATGCTCAATTCACAATGGTCACACAAATCGTCAGAGCTCCGCATGGGGGAATGCAGCCAGTGCTCTCTTCATGGCCAGAGTGGGCGAACACTAGCTGCTCTTAAAACAATTTTGAGAATTCGCCTCGGCCCCAAAGGGGCCAAGGGCGCTCAGATCTCTTCTCCAAAGAGAATCCCGACCAAAATTTTGCCGGCCCACCCCCCCCCCCCCCCACCCATGTCGGCTGGCCCAAAATCCTATCTGGCGGGCCTTGAAATTTTCGGGGTTCGTCGGCGTCCAGCTGCCTGAGACTAGCTTCAGGCCAGCGCAGGCTTATCTGATGTGTCTGAGACTAGCCTGTGGCCCAGCCCAACCAGGCAAGGCCGGCTTGTCTGACTTGTCTGGAGCCAGCTTCAGGCCCAGCCCAACCAGCAACCCGCGCGAGCAAGCCACAGCCCAGCCCACCCAAGACTGGCTTCAGGCCCGCCCAACCAGCCACCCGCCCTAGCAAGGCCCAGCCCAGCCCGCCCTGCCCAGGCCCCAGGCGCAGGCCTTCCTCAACCAGCAGCCTGGTCCGGCGCATGGCATCAATTGGCCCAACGTGCCCCAGCCCTTCACTCCGGCTGCCCAAGCAGCGCAGCCCAAGCTGGCCAGCCCTAGTCTGAGCAAGCAACCCACTCAAGCACGGCCTACCCCAGCTCCCCTTCGGCCCCCGGCGCAGGGGAAATACAACGCCCCAGGGATCATAGAGGTCCTTTTTTTTCCAAGGGCACTGAGCAGCTGAGATAGTCTTGGTTTTGGATTTCAAACCTTCCGAGCAGGACGGCTTCCGAACATCGAGCTAGCACGGGCGAACTGGTGCGGTCACAAGCTTTCAGTAGGATTCGGACCTTCCCAACACTGGATTTCGGTGTTCCTGACCCTTCCCTCAAACTAGGCTGGGCCGAGGCGGGCAACGCGAAGCGTTTACAATTCAGTCACAGACAGAACGCTCCAGCCTCGCGGGCCCTTCAATTCAGCAATCCCTGAAACTGAAAGAATGTTCGCGTCTCCCGGTTCTCCGGGTCATTGTGCATGCGCATAAATATGTGCGTGCATTTACACGCATATGGCAACACAAACACATCCCTGCAGGTGTAAAGGTTGTCCAACATGCTTCAAACTCATCCCTCCAACAGTCGATACATAGGATTGAACTACCGTGGCTGACTTCATTTGATACTGATCAAATGAGTTGGTTACGGCTTGTAGCACGTCCAGCAATATTGCTGAAATCTCCCACTACGCACAAAGCAACATGTTTGTTACCTGAGCAACAAAGGCCCGTATCATGCTCTCGGACTGTCGCCAAAACGTGCAAACAATGAAAACTACTGGGCATTCATGCTCGGCTGCGGGCCGGCGCAGGCTCCAGTTGGGCGGCAGTTCCTCCGCCAGGTCATTGTCGTCCCCGAACGAGGACATCCGAGTGCGTGCCTCGGAAAAGCGTGCTGGCTCGGCGACACTCGCCTTTCTGTGAGCAAGTGAACACGAACGGCGTGACATGGGTGTGCTTGTGCGCAGTCTGCAACAGGAAAAAACAAGAATGACTGGGGGAAACTGCCCATCTGTCAACGTGTGCCTTTGATGCATCCCCTACCCTCTCACCAACCAACATGGAAGTGCACAAAGCCCGTCGGTGGCAGAATAACTTGTCAAAGTCTCCTTTGCTTAGGTCATGATGTCTTCACGTCTTTCCCCTAAAGATCACAGGCAGCTCACCAAAAGCACAGGTATGCATCGCCCTAGATAGTGCCAGTTTGCTCACGTGTTGCTGAGAGATTTCATCAAGGATGTATGGATGAGAGTGTGAACGTACTTGCGAATGGGCAAAGGATTGCTTTAGCCAGCATCTGCTGATCCGGCAAAGCCGGACGAAGGTCCAATTGCAGGCAAACGAGGAACTTGGGCTTCACCAGCACGTCAAAAGTGCAAAGCCACTTTCCTACTGAGAACCAAAATGCGCACCAATGCAAACAAGTACCATCCCAGAAGGAAAAAAAACGAGCCAATACATGCCGAAGGCGCTGAACAGCGTAAACATGGCAATCGGGTCAAGGGGCATGGGAGCCCCGGATGCGCACTTGCAGGTGGCGAGAAGTTAGCAGCGCAAACATGGAAACACACTTCCGAACGAGTGGACTGGCCCAAAAAGTCCGAATTGTTTGTTTTTCACTAAAACGGTCTTTGCAAAAAGTTCCAAGTCCATGAACTCAGGGAGTGAGGAAACGTTCGCCACACTGAGGCCCCTTGCAGCCGACCTTCGACTCAAGGCCCCTGCTGGCGGCTGCTGCTCTCGAGCCTTGCCACAACCTGGCGAAATGGATTCAAGGCTTTTCCGCATGTTTAGCGAAACTTGCACCTAGTAACAAACAAGCAAATCAAACCAGCAAAACACATGGACAGGCAAATGTCCATGCTTCAGTTCATAGAAGCTTGCATGTATGTAGTTCGTACATGCCTCATGCTGCCGCGGCACAGTTGGTTGAACCAACGCTGCTTCGCAAAGTGCGTGATTCTTCATTGTCATAGCGGCTTTCAGCCCCAGCTTCCTCTCTTTGCAGAGCTGGAAGCTAGAAAGACAAGTAGAATGCACAGCTTATTAGAAAGGACAGCATACCCTGCAAACTGATTTGATTCGCATGGCTTCCTTAAGTCCCTGATAGTAAGGATCTGCGAGTCTTCAGCGAGTGGGATGCCTGGCCCATGCATCCACGAATGCAGTGACGCAACAAAACCTACGAAGCATCGAATAAGAGCCCCGCCCTACTCAGCTTTTCGTGGCAATAGAAATCGGGGTTGCCTGCCAGCAGTGTGTTACCATGTTACTGTTGCCAGTGGATTGCCAAAGGCTCCTCAAGCTGATTCAAAATGTGCCTTGCACAAGAAAGGCGGAATAGCTGCGGTTAAGGTGCAAGTTAGTAGTCCAGTCAAATGTCAGGAGCAAAATGTCATGCACTCTCATGCACTGCACTTGCTCTTCTCCTTCAATGAAACATATTGCAGGCTGTTTCTCGCGGAAAACATATTACAGAGCGGGCAGGATTATCACAACATTAATGTGATCTTGACACCATTCAGCTACACAAACACGTCGTGTCTCATGAAACCACGTATCCCGGTTCAACCGCCCCGTGCAGGCTATGTCAAACGGAAGCATCCATCAGCCAAAAGGCAACAGCTCAACACTTGAGCGAGAACGTGGCCGGGCCCTGCGCACCTTCCACCATTGGAAGGGAGTCGTGCTGTGGCACGGTCTGGGCGAGGGAGATCACTACGATTCCAACCAACAAGGTGCCAAACACGGCCAGAGTGGAGTAAGTCATGGCTTTGTGCTTCAGACTGAGATATCAACGCAACAGCACAATCTCACTTGTGATCAAACCATTCGGAGTATGATCAAGCGATGTCTCTTTTAAATTGGAACTTTCTCTCCACTGCTCACCCTGCCACCGAGGCGTTGCTGCCAGGAAATCATCACTTGTGGCGGTTGTTCCTGGCACACCCTGTTGGTTGGAATGATCTATTGGTGGCGATTGATCTTTCTGCATGGTGCGAAGTCAACCTGTTGCAGAAGAATACTGGAGCTAGACATGAAGACTACAAGCACAAACCGGAAAGAAGGCCCTCCGTCTGAGATGAAGCAAAATCGTGAGTTACACTCTTGAACAACATCTTAGAAGACCAGCCAGCGACACATCTATAGTCCTTGCACACCCGCACACTCTCACAAGCCATTTAGCATGGCAGCAAGCCACGACACGCACACCTTGGAATGAATCAACATTGCAAACATGGCTTGAGCGTGACTTGCATGTGCACAATACATTCTAACAGGAATGCCGCGCACTGCGTGTCTAGAAAGCCGTGCCCAGTGAAGTGCAAGTATACGCAATTTGAGTAGAAATACAAAAAGGCTCATGCACGCCTTGCATGTACTGAGAGGGACATGCATGCTCAAACAGGCCCTTCCTATCTGCTAGAGCGGTGCTAGCAGCCTCTCCAATCAATCATGCAAGTGATCTAGTGATGGCTCCTTTCTGCCGCTGCCTTGCAGCTCAAAGTGATTCGCAAGCGAATTCATCTAATCACAATCAGACTGAACGGTGAAAGAATGTATCGGACTGCCAGCTATCTCAAACAAATAAATCCATTGAGTTGTCAAACAAGTTCTGGGCAGCAGCACCATGACACCGCCGCCATAGCCACTCGCCATAGGGGCAGGTTGTTCAAGGGTTGAAACGCCTCAGCTGCAGGTACCGCAAACCGAACCACAAGCAACGCAGCCTGAGATTCCTTCTCGAGTTTACACATCTTTCACATCCCGAAAATTGTCGCATCTCAATGGGGACTGCCACTGGGATGCAAATCAAATTGCAGTTTTGATGTAAAACTCGGATTGCACGACAGACGACACATCACAGAAAACATGTGCTGTCTCCTTGGAGCAGAGCATCTCTGCTCATTATCCACACATAATCATAAGTCTACGAAACCACCCATACTCACAATCCATCGTTCTTGCGCTTCCCACCCTACCCTTCTTGCCGTCGAGTTCCCGAACATGGAAACTCAACACTCTACTACACATGATCAGATTCCATGTCAAATGTGCATTTGTTAATCCAAGTGGCACTTTGGAACCTCTTGCCGTTGACGTTTGGTTTGTCTATGTGTATCGTCAAGATGCTCCATGTTTCGCCACCAGGCCCAACTTAGAAGAGAGCAACAAGACAGCGAAACAAATAAAACATCAAATGCTTATAGACGACAAGGCTTGTGGGTACGGCCCAGGCCTTGTTCAAATGGCTTGGACATATATTCCCCTTGGGTTACCATGGGGAGATTGATGAGAAAAAGGGCACGATAAGTTCTAGATTCACCCATCCTGCCATATGTACATGTTAATGTGCCAGCAAGGAGCCATCTGCCTTGCAACGTTTAGCAGCTACACACGCACACACACACACACACACCCATCCACACAGGCACAAACACGCACACACACACACACACACACACACACACACACACACACACACACACACACACACACACACACACACACACACGCACACACACATGTATATATAATATATATGTTTCTATTCCACGACCAACATTTGCATCGCCGCCCCGGCCCCGCTGAGTTCCCTCGCAGGGCTCGGTTACCGTGTCAGCACCTTATCGCAGGCCCTTTCTGAGCCAGGAAAAACGACACGGAAGGGCCAAAATGCAGCGGCTGGGCTGTGGGCAAAACGTCCATACCAAGGAATTCAGCACCTGCTACGTGCCAATGAAGTAACAACACTGTGCGAAAAAAAAAAAAAAAGGACGGCAGGAATGGGGGAAGAAGCTCCTTTCCATGTATTGCTGGCCATCCCGTTCGCCATTGGTCTCCAACTTTTATTAGCTGGTCCACCCTCCCCTTTTGCCACTCGGAGAGGAACACATCTCAGAAACTCAAAAACTGTCCTCGGCATCGATTGAGAACTGATTGCGCCGTGCTCAACGATGCGACGTCTAATTTGTCATGTTCAATTGCCTAAGCGTGGCTGTCAGGGAAGAGGCTGGCAAACGTGTTCTGACTGAAGAGTAGGGTTGATGCTTGGATGCGGCGCTTGGCCCTCGCATGAACTTGCCGTTCATTTGTTGTTACTTTCTTACCCGGGGGCCATATTTTGCCTACTGACCCGCTGCCAAAGCTGTGGGCTGAAGGGTCCAGCCAACAGACTGGGATGTCGCAGCCAAGAGTCAAGGATAACCTCGCCTTTGGTTAATTCAAGGCGCAAATGGGTTCTGTAGTGAGCGGGCGTTTGCTCGAGCTTGAGCCTCTTCTTGCATTTCAAACGCTTCTCGAATCATCCAATTCAAAGCGACCAATTTGGCAACACATGCCGCGGAATGCCCCAAGTCATCCCTCAACGTAGCTAGTGAAGGGTCCTTAAAGTATTGTCATGAGCCTCAGTCAAGCAGCACAGGTGAGAAATTTGCATAAGCTCTTAGCATAAGCTCTTTGGTCCAGATGGTTCATCCCATTCGAAGCAGGACAAAACTACGAACGACTGGCACAGCATCATCCTTTGATCAACGGCAGGCATCGCAACGTCGTGGCAACTCTGTCCGCTTTGGTGAGACCCATCTTGCAGCTTCAGGCCCGGCTTGCTTTCAAAAACACGCCTGGAAACGCAAATGCCTATCAGCTCTTTGACCACTGAGCTGTTTGGGTACCAACGGCTCTGAGAAGTCACAACCGGCTTTCTTCGCTCTCTGTTAGCAGAAATGCATCCATGGGAACGTGTAAGGCCCAGCAGCATGGTTATATAAGTGTTACCTCTAGTCTATGTTGCTTGCTGAAGGCCTCAAGAGAACCGCTTTCATGGCTTTGCTGCGCATTGGCCCAGCAACCTAACTGTGTGCACATTCACGCCTGCAGGATCGCGCAGGAAGAAGTTGACAACGCAGTTTAAGGGCAACCTGTGCAATTGCATAATTATGATGCGGCTTGATCAGCCTCTTCTTAGGTCAATTGCGCCCAAAACAAACAGACAACAGGTAAACACAATAACATTGACACTAACATGGACAACAGGCAGTCTCCCAAATAATAAATATGGATGATTTTGCACATTGCGCTGTTTGCAAACTCCTGAACTCCTGGACTACGCAAGTACATGTATGTGACGTCTACTATCATTGGCAGCAAGAAACAAGATTGAACGACCAAATCCATCACATTTGTTAAATGGCTCTGACGTGTTTGGCTCATACGAATTTGACAGTTGCTTGATTTTGACAGTTGCTTGAAGAAAGTGCAACACGGAAGCACGTAGCATTGGATCTACAATCATTGTCTTGTTGCGTGAGGCGTATTTGGCAACTCCCGTGACCCAAGTGATCAAGCCACTGCTTCAACACTTGTGCACCAATCCAAAATTTGGAAAAGCAACACCTGGTTTCTTTCGCGCAACTCGGTGTTAGGCATCCCGCTGGCGAAATCTCCGAACAAGCGAGCCCTCATCTTCGGCCCTTCATCTTGCCGCCGCCGCCGCCCATCATCTTCTGCATGTTTGCGACCTTCGTGGCGATTGACTCTCAAACGAGTTGGCATTGGGCACACAACGAAACGTACCCATCACACTATCCAAGCTGCAAGTTAAACAGTTATCACTGCAACAAAGAAACTCTAATCGAGAATCTGTTTTCATGCACAAAAGGTCGCATACCTTGTGGAGAAGATGGTGAACTTATTTGGCTGGCCTGTTGCTTCCTTGACTGAGCCAGGCTTGCACGCTTGGGCAGGCTCGGGCTCAGATTTTGCAACAGCATCGGTAACAAGCAGCAAGCTTAGCGTGACAGCATGAGCAACAGCAGGATCCAACTGCAGGGTGCCGCGCCTGTGAAGGGTCGAGGCCACCAAGACCCTCCATCATGCCGCCCATGTTCTCCATCTTGCCAAACTCCTGGCTCGGCTAGCCTTGCTACGCTGAATGATATGCCAGATTCACCTCGAGATGGAGGCCCTGAGTTCTTGCCACCCAAACTGTTTCCAAACTGCTAGGAACCCCTTGCAAGCATATAGCATGCAAAGCGTCTGGGACTGCTTTGTATCTCGGGGATACTGTCAGGAGTAGCGTTCAAGAATCTGCGGAGCTGGTAGCGCGAACTCGCTCGGGGGGGAGGGGGCGGGGGTTCTGCACATTTATTGTCACAAAAAGAGCAACACTGGTGACCTTAGGTCTTCACAGGGTGTGTCAAAGCTAAAGAGTCTTCATGGCAGTCACAAGGCCAAACACAAATGCCACGCCGGCACCAAGATGACCTGGAAATGACCGAGATCCCTGCAAAGGATGCCACATGTCAGCACAGCCAAACTTGCCAGTGCTGCCTTCATCATCTTCATCCTGACACTTTGTGCAGCGGGTCTGCTTCTAGTCTCAACACGATGGCGACAATTGCAAATCCACATGCGCACAACACAAATGAAACAAACACCCCTTTGCCCGAGCCGGGTGGCAAGCCAATGTGCCACCGAGCTCACTCTTTGGAGCCATGATCTTAACCCTACCATGCAGCCCGACATGTTGGTTTTCTTTGCATACCCATCTTAAGTGGCCTCACGCAGCTTAGGACTGCCTGACAGCAGAGTTCTGAGCACTAAGAAAACAACACCCTTCTGGCACATAATACCGCCCGGTCGAAGTACAAGTCGTCGCCATAAAGGTAGGGGGAACAGTTAATCCGCATGGCATGGATCGAAACATGACTGCAAAGCATGCATTTTGTCAAGCCGAAGACAAAGACAATTGTAATGTGCCGTATGCTTGGACACAACTAAGCATGTACCGTGTTCGCCGGTGCTCAACTCGGGGCCCGACCGTTAAAGTTACAGATGCGCAGTTTGACAAATTCACACGCAGAATGCTTCTGTACACAAAGCGAAACAAACCCTCATTGACGCTTTGCGCGCCATCTCTCTCTGCCCAACTTCTCCCAGCAATTGCGCTGTCAAAGAAATCCAAACAACTGAATTGCCAACTTCCTGAGATGCTATTGAGCATACAAGCAACTCCACGCTTCGGGACAAGCAACGCGTGTGATTCGTCCACATGCCCGTACCCATACGGGTACACGTGCTGAACTTTATACAATGTATCTGTGTTGAACAACTAATCATGTTGATTGATGTGGCATTTGTGTTAAACAATTATGTCATTTTGGTTGAATCAATATACGAATTGTTCAACTATGCTTGATGTATTGTGCTTACATAATAGAGCTATGATTGTTTGAGTTGAATTTGTTTTACTATATTTGATTGATATTGGGTATATATGTTGTTGTCGCTATTGAATAGACTTTGTATACTATATGTATTGCATTTGTTTGTTTCCTCATAATCGATGTGCTCGTCTTTATGGGTTTTGGATTGCGGTGTGAAGCTTTGTTTTAGTTACTGTGGTGGTGTTCTGTTGATTTGGTTTGAGGTTTTGTGCTATTTGCTTTTCAGTCGCGTAGTCAAATTATGGGTTCGAGATGAGTCGATTGCTGTTTTTGCGCCTTTGTAAACTTTGCCCGGAGTTTGGTTGATATTTTGTTTCTGGGAAACCTTGGGCTCAGGATTGATAATTGGATAGTTGTGCGTTTCTTGTAGTGAACTGGTCTTGTTTGATTCTCGAAATGTGGGAGGGTCATTGTTGGGGGGTAGATGTTAATACCGGCTTGGAACTTTGGTGTTATGCTAATATTAACTTGCTATTATATATTGTATTTGCTTTTTAGTCTTTGTTTGTTAAATACTTGGGGCTTTGAAATGTTAAGACTTTTGGTGGATTTGATGGTATCTAGCTCGGAGTTGCGGGGTTCATATTATGCTTACGGATTAAATAGAGTTGGGTTGGATCAAGTCTTAGGAGTCGAACCGAAAGAGTCGAGAGTCCCGAGTAGAAAGTTGTGAATTGCAAGTTGTGCGGTATGAGTCGAGTTCAGAGTCGAGAAGCGAAAATCGAGAGTTCAGAGAGAGAGGTTCTTGAGTTTATGAGAGTTTTGAGTTTAGTTGAGTGTGCGATTATAGATGACAGGCGTGCGTCGAGGATACGCATCGAACATTGTGAATCGGAAGTCGAGAGATGCGAGTTATTCTTGCGCACAAACAATAATAAATGAATGCATACGAGAAAACATGCGTCGGCGTGTGGTGGGGGAATACCAGTCGCGAAACAAAAAAAACAACTCTGCGGGTTGCCAACCGCTCTGCGGGTTGTCAGTTCCTGCCCGTGCAACTGTCTGTCATAGGCTCTATTGCAGCTGTCGGGTGGACGAGCGGGTGGCCGGGTCGAATGTCACATTAAATCTATCAAATTGAAACGTGTCGGGTGGGAAAAACAAAAACAAAAAACAAAAACGCGGTGCCTTCTTGGGACACTGTTAAACAGTTTGAACATGCGGTGCAGTGCAAGAGGAATCCATGGGGCCTAAGGGCACCATGATTGACCGATCAAAATCACACACCCGACCAAACGGTTGTTGTCTTGTTGGTTCTGTTTTGAAACCATTCCAGAAAAGCCCTCTCTAGTGCTTCACCTCGCGAAGCCAAGGTGCATATTCTGCGCGCCGCCCATCTGCTGCAGCATCCGGGGATCCATGGCGCTCTGCCTGAGCAAGATCCAATAAAGTCGCTCAGCCTGTCACAGAGAGCCAAGCGTCAAAATCGGTGACCCTTCCAAGTGCTTGGGATTCTGGATTCCCTCGACACCCTAAGTTTGGCATGCCTGTCTCATCTAACTTGTAGCAAGCTGGGGAGGTACATCTAGGTACTCTGACATAGCCGTGTCCAATTTTTCAGTCCATGTAGGATCCTGTATGGGCAAATGCCCCAGCGAAGAAAACAACAGGCAAAGTTTGTTTAAACGACAATACACTCCCTCAGACTAACATGGAAGCTCCCCCAATTGGCCTCTCTAAATGGAACCAAGTCTTCCAAAGGCGTCCTGGGAGCTTCCATGGAATCGCCGGAGGGAACCTGACAAAGCTCACCGTCCTCCTGCCTCACCCGGAAACTTCCAGCTTGACCCATGTGCCCTGGTCAGAACTACACCTATGTGGGGCCGTTTCCCACATCCGTGTTGACATCCCAAGAGCCAATTTTAGCGATGAGATTTGGACAGGACTCGGGAGAGGGGAAGAGGGGATGTAAAAAGCAATGCGAAATGACTCGTTGAGCCCCTACTAGGAGTCCTTCTGTTGATCGTGCCCCCCCTAATTCGGGGCTGCATAGGCATCCCCGGAAATTATTATCTAAGTAGGCAAGTCTTTGTCTCGGTCTTCTTTTGTTTTGGTTGAGCAAACTTGCAGTTTGTTGTTGTCACATGCTGCATACAGCAGGAAAAGCCACAGCTAGGGTGTCAGTCAGTTTGTTCCGCTTCCCTCGCGAACTCTGTGAACTGCGGGTCAAATCGTCAGCTAATGCTTTCATGATCAACCAAAGTCAAATGGCTACCGTCTGACCCCCTTTCTCTAAGTTGCTACGATCGTGCCATCTGCGGGCTGACATCAAACCGCCACGTCAAAGCAAACCCTTGCCCTGCAGGAATAATTGACTTCGTGCGTCTGCTAAGCCCAAGTGCATGGATCTGCAGATCCTGAAAGAAGAGACTGAAGAAACCCTCATTGCGGCTTGCGCCCATTCAACAAAGACGGAAGCCAAGGGGGCGCTTGTGAAAGACTTGGACATAATAGTCGTCATGGAGCCTTCAAAGAGAGGAAAATGGGTGTCACTGGACAACTAGGAATAAAAAGCGGTTGCCCGCATGACCTCCGGGCTCCTGGCATCTTCTGCATGACCTGCGGCAATTTTACGACCCAAGAAACAGAGAGAAGCCATCTTTGGCAACCATGCTGTACCAGCTGACAAGTTTAATTCCTGCTTGCACCGTGCTCGATGTCCAAGTCAGAGATCATTCAGCTATGGTGCCCAGCTTGCAAACACACTGCTAGTGGCGTGAGGCTCAATTTCTGAAGTGGAGCAGCCACAATCTCCAGTGTCAACAGCGACTGTACGCAAAACATGACTATCGCAAACGTTGGTGGCAAATTACAATGCACGCCGTTTCTCTTGAGAAATCTGCAAGTCGGATAGCACAGCTTCGGCAGTGAATGTTCACACCAACGAGCTGTGTTACTTCATTAATAAGTTTTGCAGCGGGTAACAACTCAGCAGTCGACCTCCGCAACATTAAAACAAACGGCGCTAATTGGACTCACGTCAGTCTTCTCACGGTTTCACGGCACACAACTCCAAGATATCATTATGCATGTCACACATCGTCACAGGAAGGAAACATATTTGATTGCAGCTTTCATTCACAAGATGTAGGTGTGAAGCTCGTTCAGCAATTCATCGAGTCAATTGAGGCTTTCAATCTCCATGGTCAAATCGCCCGGCCAACTTGGAGACTGCAAGAAGAACGCAGCAAACTGGTCTTCCCAAGGTCAACAAATTCCATCATAGTGGGCAGGAGGGGCCGCAATGCCAACTAATGCCAAACACAGCCTGCCTCAGCCGCAAAGTGTCAAGACATGTGCGCTCGCGAAACCAATGCAAGGTGAGATTTCCAAAACAAAAGCAATGTGGGCAGCAAATTCTGTTTAGGGCATGGGGGCGGGTCGGGGGGGGGGGGGGCTCGGGCATACCAAGCTTGACTGGCTTCTTACAATTACAAGTACCAAACAGAAGCTTGATACTTCAAAGCTAGCTCACGGCCTGGAACAATCTTAAGAACACTTTCTGAATCGCGCCCAAGCTGGCAATTAGTTGGCTTCGGACGTCTGCAAGCAGGCCTATCATGGGCTTGTCAATAGGCGGACTAGCAAATAAACACGCGTGTTGCTCAACAATTGCTAGGTTTTTGCACAGGTCCTTTACATATTGATCCGGTTCAGCAGCTCAAGTCAAGCTTCGGCTGATAGAAAGATACCGATGTTTGAGACATGACCCGACGATCCTTGACAATACTTGACGGCTCATGATACAACCGGACGCTGGACATTCATACTGCCAGGCAAGTGGATGTTATTCGTTATCAATTGATTTTGTTTGCCACACTCGGCCTGTGCCACTCTGAGATCTAAAAAGAATATGAACGAGCAACATGCTGTTCATTGCGGTTCATTTGATGCACTGGCCTTGACAGCATTGCCAAGTAGTCTCAGGAGCAGCCGTCAACCTTGTGATTTGTTTGCGTTGCATCAGGCTATCCTCCCCCGGCAGCGCACATGGCAGCTCCCTAAACTCACAAGAAGACAATGGAAGCTTCCACATTGGGAACATCGCGATGTACGTTTGGTGGAGAGACGTGTTTGGACCCTGCCTGGCCAGGATTCCGCTGAAGTTGCGTGAGGTCGCCACCTCACGTGCCATCCCAAACCTGTGCACCCTTCAGGCCATCACCGGAGATCGAGGTTGTCCCATGTAAATGTATATGTGGCTGTGGGTCAAAAATGGGTACCCATTTTGGGAACCCTGGTAAATGGAACCAAGGACTAAAACCTGCGGTCCCCTGGTGGTTAAATTTTGACCCATACCCATGTCTCGAAGCATCGAAGGCCAAAGGCTGAGAGCCGCACCCTTGCCAAACAGCCCGCTCTTGCCCATCTTGCCCACCATCTTCTCCATCCTCTTGTACTCGTCCATCAGCAAGTTCACCTGGCTGACACTTGCAACCCACGCTTGAACGTCTCAGGCGAATGCATGCTTGCTGGCCTCACAGAAACAGGCTGTAGCTGGTTCGCAAGATTGCCATAGCATACCCAAAAGTGTGTCAACAACTATAAATATGCTTTCTTGCCATGATACTGCCACCGCTGCCAGCTTGGAAAGTCAACACTTGCCTGACAACAAAGACCGGCGCAATACATCTCGCAATGACATCAGAGCCGTGATTGGGCGACCCCAAATCACTGGTAGCTGACTGGCTTTGAGGCAGCAACTTTGGTGCTCTCCCTGCAGCTCGGAACATGTAACATCCAGCGTGCGCCGACCTGATAGCACAAAGGTCAAAGGCTATCTGTGTAGACAGAACTTGGCCATACTCATAAAAGCGACAAAGTGAATGAGGAAGCTGCGTGACCCTCTCTCCCAAAAAAAAACGGACCTAAATTACAAGCAAATGTTGAACGCCAAACATGTTTTTTGCAGCAAGCCTGCCTGAAGTCAGGCTATTACAGCGCAGAGTCTGAGCTCCGCGATCCTTAAGGCTGTGGGTTGGATAAGTATCGCTGATCGCTCCGACCAGCTCTACCAAACTGTAATCACTACGCAAATCACCTCTGACTGGGCAATGCAACGAACATCAAACCAACAAAAACTGACCGATATTCGATACTTGCTCAAACATATGAAGGGAGATGAGTGGCTTCCGCCAACAGACTTTACTAGCAGAGTCTCACTATGTAGCTGACCATTTGACCAGCCAGCCCGCCAGCCAAGCAGTCAACAGAAGGCAAACAAGCAAGCCAAAAACGCAAACAGTCACTCGCTCTCAAATTCACGCACAAACCAAACAAACAACAGGGACTCGCACAGCATTTCACACTTGACCTGCACCGCGGCGCTACACTCTTGCGCCTCAGGGATGGAAGAGCCAGCGCCCCGGGCAATCCGCAGCTTTCGGGAGTCGTTCCTAAGGGTCCGAACATGAGGAGAAACAGAGGAGGCTTGTGCAGGGCGCCTAACAGATCTGACACAACAAACACACACGCGAGCACAAACATGCAAGCAAATCGCACACACACACACACACGCACAGAAACACATCTAAACAAACAATCGCAAAAGCGCAATCACGCAATCACACACATACACAGCGCTAGTGCTACATTGATGTCAGCTTTCAAGAAAGTATCTGAGAAAACAAGGCAAGGCATCCAACATATTGCCCAGTCTCTTCTAAACAGAAGCAACAACGCTGCCCAAACAATGAACTCTGGGTTTCTGTGTGTAATTATTCCAAGGTACAACTCCAGCACCACACATTCAAGTCGGCACACTCATACAGAGCCATGGACCGATTTAAACAGGGTCTTGTCAACATATGTTTGCTGCCCAGGAAAGACTCCCCCGTATTGCCTGTGATGTGCCGGCAAAGATTTACTAGTTTCCAATCCATTCCCTTATCGGCAGCCTTCCATGCAATCTCTAATGGTAGTTGGCATGCCCAGCCTGGACACAATCAAGTAAGAAAGCTCGTGTCAACTACCCCAACGCTGTTCCAACTAGACTGTGTGTTTTCCAATCAATGCTGTTGCAATGAAACCCAATGATACTTCCAATGAAGCTGCAATGATGTTCTAATGACAATCCAATTAAATACCGATTCTAGTGGAAGCCCGCCGAACTCATGTTAGTGAAGTGATTGGACAAAGCCTGGGCTCCTGAGACCAAAAAGTCCATGAGTCCACTGAAACTCCTGGAAAGAAACTTGGTCATGATCATCTCAAACCCTCAAGCCAGGCCCACGAGATCCTATTTGAATCCGCATGCATGATAGCTTTCTAAGATACACCAGGATGATAGACAAGATCGTGGCATGGTTTCGGGCAGGCCTATTGAATTGCTCATCCACTTTGCCTCCACAACCATCATCAAGCATAATTAATCTATATTAACAAAGGAGTACCACTCCATCAAGCTTTTGACCCTGACCACTATGAAGGCTCATTGCATGCCTTCAGTCATGGGGATCAAATTTTTGAGCCATCGCAACTGTCCCCTCAGCTGCCTCGCCTCACCTGCTGAGACTGAAGAAGACAACTGGCAACAAAATATTTCTTTGCAGAAACCATCAACACTCATAATCGCTCTGAGGCTCTGCTGCAACCTAACCAACTGTTTGCGCAGTCAGTATCATGATTGGCTAGATCTGCCTGCAAAAGCCCAAAACGTGGGTGTCCGAAATGGCTCCTAATGACATGCACTTAACGGCCGAAGGAAGCAACACATCTCCCAAATGAGACGCGGAAAATGATAAGGTCTGCTTTGTGCTGTGTTCTCTGCTCAAGCACAGGCAATTTTCAGTCAGATCCCTTTAATCTCCAAGCTTCAGCTGCACCTCGCAGTCCAGCTCGGCGTCGGTCCTGGGATCAGTCCGTTGGGCCTCTGAGGTAAGGGATCCTTGAAATCCGGGAGAAATAAAGGGCCCAGGGCCATGCTCGAGATTTTGAGTGTCGCAATGAGCCTGCTGTTCGTCTCGTGACTCGTTGGGAGATACGACACTAGATCCCCAAACACTCCAAATGACTGCTATTACTAGGTAACTACTATTAGTTCAACACGGCACTTATGTGTGAATATACCAGCTTTACCTTGCAAAACGCTGTGAATTCATAGGCTGTTGCGAGACCTCCCCAAGCCTGAGAACCCGAACTGACTCCGCAAGGGTCTCTGCGGCTCAGCCTCCTCAGGTTTGAGCATTGCCCATAGCCCTGACCAGCTAGCCAGGCACAACGCACATGCACACAGCTTGGTGGCAACCTTGGTACATCGTGTTATTTCTCTCAGGAGACCCTCTGAAAACTAAGAGCTTCAGGTGCTTCAAACGCAAGGAAAAAACAGGAGTGGCTTGCAAAAACAGGAGTGAAGAACACAAACCAGGAGTGGTTCTCCGGGAAACAATTGGAAACAGCTCGTTGTTGTTGCTTTTCGTTGCTTGGGCCAGCAATCATGCAACTGTGTTCAATATCCCGTGAATTATGCAGCTCTCTGCATGAGTGAATATTCCACTGCTTTTTCTGAAAATGCACTCTCAGGAAACTTTGTCTTTTTGATTTGCGGGAGCTTGCGGGTTTTTGCGGGAGCTTGCCGGGTTCTTGTGGCATATTTTGCGCCGAGTTTCGGGAGTGGTGTTTTTCGGTTTTGCCCCTTTGTCACCCAAATTTGGAATATTTCTAAATGTTGAATAATTCAGATTCATATGAACGATTCTGATTCTGAATATTTCTGAATTGGAGGGCTCCTTCCGTCAAGTACCGCATGATTGCGGATTCTGGGGGTTTCCGGTGTGCAAACCAATTTCCAGGCGAGTTTTACCTCAAAAACTACCCTTCACTGAGACCCTAAAGAAAGTGGTAGTCTCCGGAATTTACGCAATATAAGCTTCCATGATTTCTTAAAAACCAGGAATTCTGAAGACCGTCATAAACGACACCGGATCTCGATTCCCTAGTGTTCTACCCACAGCCTGTGCCCCCCGGCATGCTGTCCATAATGACCTGAGTTGCGAGTGTCAGAAGAAGTCAGCGGGGTGACAGGGAGTAGGTGCTTCACCAAGTTAGGCAAGGCTCAGATTGCTTCTGCGTGAGGCCGGGTCACTTTCGGAAGGCGTGCAACACTCTTCATTGCTGTGACCTCTTCACATCCAAGGCATCCGGAAACACAACCGCCATGGGGAAGTCGGCAGGGTGGAAAAAAAGTTGTTTAAGTTCAGCTAGTTGCCACGGGAGGAGGGTCATGACAGTTGATTAAGCGGCAGCCTCTACATGGCACTCTTGCAGGGTCCAGCACGCACGCACCATTCCGATGAGGAACACTTCACCCGCACGGTCGAGATTCACACAACATCTGCCCCACTCCAGCCCAACCTCAATCAAATCCCGGCTCTCAACACGGGTTATGTCTGAATTTCTGACACAGCGCATATCCAACATTTATAATGGTAATCGACATGAGGGGGTCACTTGGTCAAGCTAGGCTCAGAACGATTTGTGACCTGAAGTCACCGATGTTATGGTGTCGCCACTTGAACACCCGGACGCATAAATAGTTCAACAAAGATTCTACGCTACCTCCGCCAGCGTTTCCGCCAGTTTAAATACCTGATTTAGATAGGTATTTTGCGTTACGTCTTGAAAGCCTGCCTCTGGCCCCAACCCGCTTGCTGGAACATCCGGGCGTTCCGAAAATAAAAGCAGGCTAAGGAAGGCAACGTCAGAGCCAATGTAGCAGTGCTGCTTCTGTTACATGGGCTCGCGCGCTACAGCTTACACGCAGCAGTGTTTCCGCGAAGCCTCTGCGAAGCCTCCGTGAAGCCACCACGGACCAACCATCATCATGCTTCACCCACTTCGAAATTTTGAGGGGCCCACGCCTTCAATCTGGAGGCCCAAGTCGTTCTTGTCAATTTGCTTGCTGTTCGTTGCCAATTACATCTTCCGCAACCATCCGGCTGTTCTGGGATTTGTTGAAAAACGTAAGGAAATCTGGGAGTTCCCTCCGGGAAAAAGGTGTATTCGTGCCTTTCTTGCTTTCTTTCTTCACGAGCCGCTGCACCGCTATACTGGTGCTAGGGATTCGGGGCAGGATTTTGCGAATATGAGATGGTCCTGTTGCAGGGGATTGAAACAGGTCTGAAACATGTCTGACACAGGGCCCAATGCCAAATCCAGGCACTCTCTCTCTCTCTCTCTCTTGCTTCTCTTTCTTCTCTTCAATTTCTTTTCATTCTGGGATTTGTTGAAAGACGCCAGGAGTTTCAAGAATTCAAGCAAATCCGGGAGCCGCGTCCGAGACAAGGGGCCTTTCTTGGTTTCTTTCTCCACGAGCCACTTGGCAGCTCAATTCAGCGCACTTATCCAGGCGTTTATGTAGCATGGAGTTACGAAAGCATTGGTGCAACACTGATGCACCGTTCCAACATGGCGACTTAGGTTGGACCTTGGTGGTGCAATCTGACCTGGCTTGGGAGGAGATAGCGCAATGCAGCTGCCAGCCCTTAGCAAGGGCTTGAACTGTGCTACGCCCTGTGTTTACGGGGAAGGGGTCTGTCTCGGTGTTGCCATTTAAATATCCTAATCAATATTTCATACTACCTCCAAGGCCCATGAGGGTGGAACGGCCAACCGCTTTAAATATCCGATTTAAACAAATGTCTTACACCCCCACATATTTAAAAGTCGTCACCGTACGTGACGACTATTATTTCTACACTAGGTTGGCTCTTGAGTCTCTACATCTTGAAAAAGCGTGCTCCAAATCTGCTACAGCATCTTTGGGGTCCATGCGCTGATTGCAGGAGGTGTAAGCCCCAAAACACTTACTGACTCGCCGACAATCGGACGCGAGGACACCAATCCATTGTGCGGACAACTCAGCTCGCGGCCATAAAGCGCTTGATGCGCTTTACGCCTTCCTTCTCTGCACCTGTGACGCATGCACGAAGCCAAACAAGGAGGAATCCCAGGGCGTCACATTCGACGTACGCTTGTATAAAGCACCACGCACTGTCGGTTGCTGTTTGCTGCACTGTCGGAATCGCAATGCTCTCCCTGTTGCCATGAGGCATACCAATATGACCATGCCAACTGAGCTCCACGAAAGCTGCTACCTACTTTGAATCGAATGTTGGCCTTGCCCAAAATGCACAGTAACCAACAACGAACCTAAGTGACAAGTTGATGTTTCGGGCTGGCGCATCGAGCAAGTTTGCTGAACTTCCCCATCATCTCTCGCCTTACGCTGTATCGTTGGCAATTCCCTTGGCTCGTCCAGCGCTGACGCGTGCTGCTTTTAGGGGTATCCTTGTTTTGAGAGTCCTCTATTATCAATGAAACGCCAAATGCTAGTAACTTTGTTGGTACTTCATATGAGAATGTTAATGTGATTGTCGTGGTGCAACCATCAGATACTGGAAAGTGGAAAGGCATGCGAATACGGCAACGCAGAAACCTGGTGCTAAACCAGTCGCCGCAACAGCACGGGCACCTGCTGGCATCAGGTTCGACATGCCAGGGATCATCTGCATGAGCTGGCTCATGGGTCCCATCCTCGGCCAGTCTCGAAATTGACGGATCAAAGTCGCGTTGAGCCCTCTTTCAGCGTTTTTTCGTGCCCAGCTGATGCTGGGTGCCTTACCCAGCACCCAGTGCAATGCTTGCAACAGGATCGAGCGCCATGCCCAATGCCAGCCAAATCCGGATTGCAAGACGAAAGACATCGTCTTCTCAGGAAAAAAAACAACGTGATCATTGCCAGCAAATCTGGGACGAAATGTAACATTTTGTCTTAAGGGAAACCTCCTTGCTTTCCCTTGAACTGGAACCAGAAAACAAGCAGTGTCGCCCGATTGTTCTTCAGAACGTGTTGCTGTTGGTGGTGGTGGTGGGCATCTCACATTGCTGCACTGCTGGCTACTGGCCGGCTGAACAAAATCTTGGTGCCGGCGGACGCCACGAAGGCTCTGGAAGGCTCACCTACTGCTAAGCCCTTTTTGCCCTGTGTCTCGCCGTTTGCTTCCAAGCCCTCGTGGTTCAGGTTTCAAGGATTCACAGCTCGGAGGGCTCTGTGCTTAGTCCGTAGTCTGCGGGCGCTCTGTCCCTTACACATGGCCCAGTGTCTGGACAGTCCGGCCATCGCTAGATTTGAAGCACGTTTGACACAGCACAATCGGAGTGCTGCTCCTTTTGTTTTGCACAAACAAAAACCTTATGTTGAGGCTGCGCGCAAGAGGATTGTTGCACCTTGTAGGTGAGAAAGAAGAACCCTAAAAAAACGTAAAACATCGCCATGAACAACCATCACCTTCCATTTTGTTCAGCAAGCAAGGCTTTGCCAACATGTCCCATCACAAAGCATCACAAAGCCTCTGGGCACGGCACTTCTGCAGGTTCTGGAACCTCCGAACGGCCAGGACACCACAGAAAGGTGACATCTGGATGGAAAGAGGACGGATCTAATAGTTGTTTGGACTCTTTGCGGAAGAATTCAACAGAATAAAGATCAAATCATCCCTATCAAGACAGAATGTATGAGTTGTGTGACCGTGCACAACGGAGAATTGATGATCTCAGTTGCAACATCCGTTCCTCATAAGTTTGTAGATGGCAACTTCGGGCATCGTGTTCTGATCAAATGTCAGTTCGACTGATCCCATCGGCAATACTTTTGACATCAAAGGTGTCTATCAACTCGTGCAGCAGTTCGTCTAGCAATAAGTTGGTGACGTAATTAACGAGTCAGCGGCTCAGAAGAGGCAACCTGTCAGACATCTGTTTGGCAGAAGAAACGGCAATTTATTGAACAAAGTCGATTCTCAAAACCTTGAAGGAACCCGAGATCTTGTCCAATCTGCATCACCTTTTATCGTTAGCCCTGTGTTCCTCTTCGGATGCCAAATCGCCATGCTACCTCAGGCCCCGGCTGCTCGTAGAGATCTCGCAAGGAAAACCTGGCAAACGAGGGACCGGAGATCGTGCAGCGCTATATAAGCAACGCTGTACTGGTTGATAAGTAAGGAGTCTGGAAATGCAGAAGACCACTTGATACCCTGCTGGCTTCACAGAAAGACAAATTGACAGTTATGAATTGTCTTGGCACCCAGCACCCGGTTCTCCCTGCGTCAGATGTATAGGTGCTGATGTCCACATGAGTCTCCTCTGATCGGAGGTGCGCCATTGCAACATACCGCTTCGATTGTGCCCACACTTCGCAACACATCCGAGCATGGCTCCAAGATGCAAATAGATGATTATCGAAGATCTCCAGTCAAGCACCACCTATAAGGCCTGGGGCTGAAACCTAAAAAAAACACTTTGCTCCTGTAGAAATACGACGAATCATAAAGAGGCATGCCACACGCTGTTTGAACAGATTCGAAATATGTGATAATTCGGTGCACGCACCTGACTTTGTTTCACAGATTCATCTTTTTCTCGCTGGCCCCGAGCTTGGGCTGGCGTTGGATTTGCTCTAAGGTTCATGCTCCCGCCCTCCATATGTGCAGAAGCCCAGGAAACGTGAGCGACAAAGAAAATGTGTCTCTGGTACAGTAGTCTATGGTTTGGACGCAAATGGGGAACAGAAGCCAATTTCGCAATCAAGGGGGGACGAATCCCAAAATAAACCAGTACCCTTTCCTGGAGATGTTTCAAGGAAACCATTCACTTTAGAGGTTCCCCCATTTAGGAGACCCCGGGCTATGACTAAGTCAGACCCAATGCTCACGTGATGTATTTAAGCCCAGAACTGCGCGCTGGAGATCTGACTGGGACTGAAAGTGCTCGGTGTTTGATCAAGTGGGCACCGGAAGCAAACGGAAACCACCCGGCAAACCAGAAGCTGTGCCATATATGACATGGTATGGTCTCCCCTCAATGGGGTCTCCTGCCGGGACGGCGCCGGCCCAGGCGCCCCCAACCATCCCTAAACCACTACGCAACCCGCAACCCCCCTCCTGCAACCCTCAACCAACCCTCAACCAACCCTGAATCAATCACCCCGACCCCCCCCCCACACCAACCCCAAACCCCAACCAACCCTAAACCAACCCAAACCAACCCTATCCCAACCCTAAACTAACCCTAAACCCATCCTAAACCCATCCTAAGCCAAACCACACGACTGAGGGGGAGAAAAACCCTAAACCAGCCCCAATCCAACACCAACCCCAAACCAACCCTAGACCCACTATCCAACCACAGGACCACAGGGGGGAGGGGGGGGCTGACCTACGACCATGGGGGGGGGGGAAGGGGAGTTAGGGCTGCTGCACCATATGTTCAGTATGTATTATAATATATATATATATATATAACAAAATAACAAAAATAGACACGTATTGTGCAAATGCACTTGAGTCAGGACAGTCCTTTGCTCCGATCTTCCTCCAAGCCCCCAAATGAACAGTGGCCTTCCCTTGGAGATCTTGTTCAGCAGCTCCGGCTGCTTATCCAGGGGCATAGCCTTGCGACGCGCATGCGACTTGGACAAAACACCCCTCATAAGTATCATGATAAAACCTTTTGTGAGGGTTTGCTGCACAGAGCACCTCATCATCGTTGTCTACGTTCCCCAAGTTTTGGCTGATGACCATCGTAGAAGTGCCTACCATGCGTCGGAAGACTGCCCAGGTGCTACGCACGTCATTGATGCTTTAAAGCATTAATCGTCCTCATCGGTGAGAGACAAGCAAATGCACCCACCTGTTGAATACTTGGCTTCTACATATATAGCGCACGACAGGTTCAAAACACAACAGAAGCCAACGCACATCCTTTTGAGCAGTGCTTTGGGCAGGAAGCTACTTCTCGACACCCAGAATGGAATGGCTTTGGCTTGTAGAGCAGATCCAATTTGCAAGATGCAGTACCTACAATACTTCTGAATAAGAAGTATGCTTGAGGAGTGACAAGGGACAAAGCAATCGGCAGGCATCAATGTCTGGCATTTGTGAGGTGGGGTTTAAAAAATGTTTGTTTCAAACAATCAAACACCCCAAACAAGGCGGGGTTTGAGAAAACCCTCGCTTTGTAGCCTGGGACCTCTTTTGGCGTGCGCATACATATTTACAGTTGGACAAAATGTAGGACCTTTAGAGGGTTCCTCTGTAAACTGCCTGAATGTCAATATGAACAGGTTGGGTACCAAAGCCCGGAGGAAAATTGCTAGACCGGAAAGACAGGTCACCATTCCGGATTACTTCAACATCTGGTCTGGGCATCTGGGGCTGCTCACCGTGACACCTTCAGTGAATACACCTCCATTGATCTTTTGAAATCGGAATGGTGACAAGACTGGCCAAGTACACTTACACCCTAAAAGCGCACATTCATATACCTACTTGGTGGTTCATCAACCCGTCCATGAGGGAAACCCGACACAATTATAAAGCTTGAAACACGCCTCGCATGGCCAGTACATGCATTACCCAGCATCTGACCAAGTCCTGTACCATTGTACAGCTGGCAACCTGGAGTGGATGAAAATGGCTATGCGACATGTGCATCCCCCCATGCAGATTCAAGGGTCAATCTCTGGCATCAAAATAGCAATGTACGTCGCCTGTCAGAAGCAAAAGCTTTTCATTTCACTCGTTTCGTGGCTCAGCTCTACGGTTGCCCGGGCCATATCGTGCCTTCCCGGACCATCCCGAGTCGCCTCTGTGATTGTCTGGAAGAGCCCCTTGAGGTCGCCCATGCCTCGACAAGAACAATGCCGCTCTTCAACGTGCTGCCATATTGCATTTCGAACGGCCACGCAGTCCAGTTTTCTGATGAACTGCGCTGTGCGTTCCACTCTCACTCTGTCTTGTCTTTGTTTAGCTGTTCCTTCCTTCTGTTATTCCTTCCTCAATGTTATTATTGTTACTTGCTGTATTTCTGCAGTTGCTTTACTTCTGTCTTGGTTAATTTATCAGGTGTCGGTCTTTCTCTATTGTTCGCTCTATTTCCTGCTCCCTTTCTTAATGTGCTCGTTCGTTCTGCCTTTCTGTCTCTTCTTTGTTTGTTTCTGTATGCAATTATTTATTGTGACTTATTTCTTCATGTACTCCTTTATTGCTTTCTGTATTTACTTAGGCCCTTCCTCCTGTCCTTTCTGTATTTGTTCTTTCTTTATTCATGTTTATGTCTTTCTGTGTTCTTCCTTTCTTTCTTTACGTCTTTCTTTCGTTCCTTCCTTTGTGTCCTTTCTTTCTTTCCTTTCTTTCCTGCCTTCCCTTCTTGCTCTCCCTCACTCTCCGTCCTCCGTTGCCCGTGATCCCTGGTCAGGAGCATCATCGGGATTGCTTCACATGCAAGCTCACGCTCCGAATGATGTGTCAGTAAGTCAATCAGTGCGATGTGTCGTACTGAGTCTCAAGGGTGTCTGCTACAATCAATCGCTACAGTCCACAAATGGTGCTCCCGTTTTGATAAAGGGAAACATCTCAACAATCCATGCCAATACCACGCGTGCACATTACAATCAAGAGCTGCATCACTTTCTTTAGTCAGCACTCATTGAGAGATGTGCGAGCCCATGGCCTTGTATTACCCTCCGCAAACAGCCACCACTCTTGCTTTCACATGCACACATGCGTGACATGATCTGTATTATGTGTATATGTTTTCATACACAATAGAATGTATCTTACATGCATGCATAGAAAAGAACTGGTCTGCCTTTGCTCGCTTGGGCCCGGTCCAAGAAGGCGCGACACGAAGCTCTGCGCATCGAATGGCTGAAACCTCCGCAAAAGGGCAGCTGGATGTTCTCAAGCAAGAAGCTGTGGAACTTTGCTTGGAAACTCCATCAGGGTGTTGATATCTTTTGGGCAGGGTACTGCAAGAAGCATGCAAAACCATTGAACCTCTAGCTGAAAACGCAACCTTCACCTCAGCAACCTAACGTGGGACCTCAGCCTGAATGGGCCCAGCCAGCCTGCTACCCACCATGCACACAAATCCATCATTCTGCTCTGCTTGCGCCAGCGTCGGGCTGAACGTCTCGGCTCTTGCCAAACCCCAAGACTAACTCAAAGCAAACATTTTGGGCAGCCTGGTGAAGAGTGTATTGTGAAGTGTTCTGCGTCCCCCTTGTTTTGCGTACACAAGCCATGCATGATGCTGCTTTCAGCAAGACGTAAACTTCAAGTTTCCCCGGACGACCCAAACTACTGAATCATATCAACGACATGCATCTGCACTCATTCCTGTGCCCACGATCATTCCCCAATCCAAATTTATGCAAGGCAGACCCAAGTCAAAAAAACATCGCCATACATGAGCTGGGTTAACCCCCCCCCCCCACAAAAAAAAGATCGCTGTAGTGCCACTGCGTGACACAAAAGCAGGACTCGAGCAGCGCTCAACGCACTTCAAGTGCTTGCATTTCTGAGTGCAGCGCTCATCGAAATGCTCGCCCGTGCCAAGAAAAATGATGGGCGAATTCCTGAGCAATGGCTCCACGAGACCAAACTTCATCTCGCTCAATGTCATGTTCAATCTCTTCTGAGCTTCAAGAAAAACGCCCAGAGCAAGCCCTACTGAGCAAAAGTAAACCAAAAGAAACGCCGCGCGTTTTATGAAGTGCGTGATGCAAATTACTAAGAACTTCTGTTTAATGTGCGGGTGGTGCTCATGAGCCTCTAGTTTGAGAATACTTCGTGTACCACATCTGTACTGACAAGTTGCGATTTGCGAGCTGGAGCTGCCAAAGTGAGCTTCGCGCTAGACTTGAAGGCTGCGCCGCGTAGGCTGTGCATAAATGGTTTGCCAGAACACATGAGAACCCGCCGGGCCCGCATAAGCAAAACCCCTGGTCGCGTAAGACACGCGAGGGGTGTCGCAGAAGCAGCAGCCAGCAGAAAAAACTTGAAGGTTTAAGCCGCCAAAAGGCATCTCATGAGCCGTGGGCACAGGACTCTCCCCAACGCGTTCCTGTAACTAGAGTCAGTGGCCCGCTGAACGTGCAACAAACTCGAAGACATGTGTCGGATGTGCATAGGTCAAACCTTTTGTGGCGAGTGGAGATGCAAGCAAGAATACACTGACCGCTCAACAATGTGTGATCCATACAACTGCCCTGTCACGTTGCGAGGTTGTTTGCGTAACCGGCGTATCTAAGACGCCAGCAAAGCTGCGGACAAAGAAAGCAACATGTACATCGTGCCCAACCAACAACTGTCCTGTTTAATTACAACTAAGCCACTTAACCTGGCAAGCGAAACCCCCTTTGGTTTGGCGCGACAACTCATGTTTCAGTCTTTGTTGGCTTAAGCAAGTTTCATATATTTGTCATTGTGCTTTCTACTGTGTTAACCTTAGCCAAGACATACACACGAATTGCTACTATGTATTTCTGTGGATGATCCGTGATTGGTGTCGACGCTATACAGCGTCACGTGCACGCATTCCATTTCACCTAATTTCATCGAGACACGCCAGTCTCACTCTTTCATGCGCCAGCCGCCCACGCCCAAATAAATAATTACCAGATCCTCTGCACTAACTGATAACTCGTGGGCCCAAACGAGGGTTTGTGCCATTTGCACTGGACACACCTCACGGACCGGTGGTTGGCGCTGTGCTGTTGCAAGGCCGCTAATGTCACACCGTCACGTGGCAAACTACCCTCCCGAAACACACTTGGAACTATGAGGGAGGAAGCCACTCAAAGTCTAGCAAACGCATCGGGCAGGTAAGCAAGTGGAATCCATGCACGCAAAGCAGCAAAATAGATGGGGTCAAACAGATTTTGTACCACATCTGTAGGTACGGGTGGTTGGTCAGACCACCCATCCCGTTAGCACAGAGGCCTGCGCCCCCTGCTAAAAAAGAGTTGCTGGGGTAAAACTGAAACTCGGTCCCGTAGGGCCACAAGTTGGGCCTGCGACGGCAAATCCCCCAAGAAACAAGCGAACAACCGCCCTCAACAAGACCTAAACCTGGTAGGCGACGAGCACGAAGACGGCGGGTGGAAGACGAGGAAGCTATCCACAAAGGGGCGAACAGGAAATTCGTGGACAGGCGGTGAAGGTGAAGGAGAGGACAAGGAAAGAAAAACGAAGCAGGCAAATTCGTGGACAGGCGGTGAAGGTGAAGGAGAGGACAAGGAAAGAAAAACGAAGCAGGCAAAGTCCCTGCAAGCTGGAAGGGCGAACAACATGAAGAGATCCTTGCCGGTGAAGGGCAAGGAAAACGACGATGATGTGGATGGAGAGGACATACTCGCGTGAAAAGACCGACTCGACAAAGAAGAACACCAGGTGGACCCAGACAAGAAAGACGAAGGAGACAAACATGATGCACAGCGAGAAGAAGAAGAATGCTCCCGCAAGGGGCTACAGAAAGGGCGCGAACAAGCAGACGGAGAACGGCGCAACGAAGACAGCCAGTAGAGTAAGCCACTCGCAACAGGGGCCAAGTGCAAGAAGACGGACGAAAGGAAAAGAAGAACAAGCGCAACCAACCAAGTCAGACAATAAGGAAACCTTCCAGCAACTGAGGAAAGACGGTCGAGTTAGTTGCACACACACACACCTTCACCTGTAAACAACTGTCATACAAATATCGACAAAGCCGTCCTGGGATCACTCAATCGGCACACCTGAGGATCCCCTTAAAATGGGGTGGTACGCACTTGGACTCCCAAGCGGTGATGCCAATCAAAGTCGAGTAAACGCATCGAGTAGGAAAGCAAGTGAAATCTACGTAAGATGTAAGTATTCAAGGCGGCGCGGCTTCCCTCTTTCCACAAACGCGTCACAGAGCCCAACATGAAGCACACAAAGCAGCGAAGCGGTGGGGACGAAATAGACCTTGTACCACATCTGCAGGTAAACAGCTTCGTTGGCACAGGTGCCCACGACGGGCCTGTGCCCCCTGCCAGAAAAGATTGCAATGTCCATGAGGGAAACGGCCTATTTCAATCGTGTGCGGGAGATGTGTGTGTGGGGGTCGCTATGAGACGTGACCATGGCCACCTTCCTCTACAAGCGTTGAACGCCCACTGCTCAAAGCTTCTCGATGTTTGCCACTCTTGGAGACGATCACTTTAGTTGGCCATGCTTGTAAAACCATCCGACCGTTCATGAAATATGTTGCTGACCAGAGGTCACATCAATTCATACGGGGCCCCATTTTGGATGATTTGCGACAAGGACCATGACACACACACACACACAACCTGACAAAAGGTCCCGCGTCCCGCCAGGGCGTGTTGCCGTTACGCCAAGGCTCGTAGCAGAGACGGCGGAGAGGGCACCTCCGCCCTTGGCATGGCCGTCCAGCTTGGTGATGATGACCTCGGGCGGCCGCTTCAAGCGTCGCGCTTCCCATTGAACAAAATGAGATCCGTGGCCCAGAATGGCGCAAGTGGCGCCATGTTTCTGCAAGATTGGAATGCTTTCAGGGATCAGAGGGGTCAAATGAGTTCACCAGGCAAAAATGCGAAGTAACATTGTGAGTGCGAAGTAACATTGTGAGCTCAGTCAATATTCTCAAATTCAGCCCCAGGCAGATCGGGCATTTAAGAACACATTCTCAGTGGACGATTGGAAGGGCTGCTGCCAAGCCGTTGTTCAAGCTGATATCAATCCAGCTTGCCCGAGCAATTAATGCATTACCTCTTTGACACTCCTCTTTTGTAAAAGGACCACAGTGAAGCAGCTTTCCACGTACAAATTGGAGAGACAAGCCCAGAAGCACTGCCACGCGAGGAACACAATGACAAGGGAACAGCTAGGCGAATCTTGCATCGCAGAAGCTGAACAATCGGTTCAGACTGACGAGGCACTTCCAAAGACCACTCTGCAAAAACCTCCAGCCGGCGCGTGTTCTGGCTGCAAGCTTTCAACAGTGGCATATAAAAGTATTGCTGGGCATATTGCACTCAGTTGGAGGAAAATGAGCTTAAACAGTGTGATCCACCAATCGCCGCTGTGCACTGTTCGTTGGTGAGTTATGGGTGCTTTGCCTTGCAGTCTCGTAGTTGGCTGATCAAACGTATCCTTGGCGCACAAAATGCATGCAGTGGCTTTGATCCTCTGGCAGATGCTTCTGAACTAACGCAAGCGTTGCTTTCCGTGATTGCAACAAGCTAGCAAACTGGGGGCCCGGCGCTGCCAATGTCCACCACTTCCCTAAAGGCCCTGGCCTGATCGAAGCACGCCTGGCCTGGGAGCAAACAATGGATGCCTTCAGTTCACTGGCACAGTTGATAGCGAAGTCTCGCATGAACATACAGCCATCATTGCTTTCAGACCGAGAGTTTGGAAAGGAGCTTCAACAGTGCAGGCTGAGATTGGTCCCTCTCCATCCATGCGATATTCACAAAGCCCCTCCTGTCAAGGACTGCCCCTTGCGCATCATGGGCAATGCGGCAATGACAGGCTAGAAAGCAGTGGCCAAGAACCTGGCCAATGTGCGAATCCATAATGAAGATGGTGTCATTGGGCTGGACGACCTGTCAAGCATTGCACCAGGCAAAGCCTTGATTCTTGTATTGGACTTCGACTTGTCAACACACAAACACAAGCCCAAAGGCTCGTACTGCCAGGCAAAAGGCAAGCTTTTCTTGATTCCCCAAAAGCACATGGGTAGATTATGCAGAGTATTCGAACAAGCCATGAATCCTGCTGTCTGGCAAATCATGCATTCAACAACTGACGAGGGTCAGCATGGCAGTGATGCCGTGGTGCTGTCGCATTGCTTTCCTACCGTAGTGTAAGCGTGGCAGGAAGAGTATTTGTTTGGCACGTCGCGGGGGGGGTGCCATCCTATCTCGTCTTGTTGAAGGCACCCCGAGGCAGGCGGGATGCCTCACGTTCCAAACGAGTCACATGGCACTTGTTTTTGTCCACCGCCTCCAACAAGGCACTGGCTCTTGCAATGAAGCAACAGAGGTCGCTTTCTATATGAAATTCCTGCGCAAAGCCAATCAAAGCGCGTACCAACGATCCAAATGTGCCTCTTCGGAGAAGTTCCTGCATCCCCAGTCAATATTCGTGCCACTGAATACATACTGTAGTGCGGGAACTGCCCTAGGCCACGCAAAACTGTCCTACGCAAAGAAAGCAGTAACAGGCTTAGCGTACATATCTCAGCATGCTACATTTCGCGGGTGGAATGCTCCTGAAGTTCAGTCATGAGTGCGTCTGTTCTATGCCATGACACATATATATATATATCTCCGTGCAATTAGTTGTTGCTAGAACTGTCCATGTCTGACTTCACTACCAACTCATGTTTGGCCAACTGCTCAGTTGCCGAAAACCTGGCATTCTGGTATCACAGTGGATAAAGCACTTAACAACGAGCAGGGAGGCAGGTGCCTTTCTTTGGCCATCCTCAACCACTTCCTTTGCAACTATATACGATGAAACCACAGTAAATAGCTGAAAATGCTTCTGCTGAACGGTGGCATTCGCCGTTCGCCTTTGCCCTTCGCCCTTTGCTTTCAGCATGCCCTGGCCTCTGCCACCTGCTTCATCTCATCAAAGAGCGCAGTTTCCTGCCTGACGCAATGGGCACATCGGAGGTGCCAGGGCCGTGACGCCCCCAGAACAAGCTACGTTCCACAAAACAAGCTCAAGTGACAAGCGGAGTGCATGAGGCAAACCATGAAGAACATGGTCCTTCTTGGAGAAACTGCACTTGAAGTGTTCTCGGCTCAGTCCTGAAAAGGTTCTCTCTTTACATGTGGTGTTTAGCTTCATATCAGATATCACAGGGAGTGAGCATCGAAAAGCGCAAGAGAAAACAGGGACCAAGGAGGATAGAGTGTAAGCTTGACACAGCATCACGATGACCTTTCTGAAGAATTCAGACTGTTCGGAGCTGATGTATTGCTTGTGACTTGGAAGGGAATGGTGGTAGACAAAGAGGAACACTGGAAGCTTCCACCAGCCATGTCGAACACAACAAGGTTGCTCTGTCATGTCAAATCATACATTATCTTGGTGGGCACGTTTCGCTTCACTCTTCGGGCTAGAGGGGAGTTGAACAACTACTAATATCCTTCGAATTTGGCTATACAGTACCGCACAACCCCCCCTTAAAATTATTCAGGCCCTTATAGTAAGCAGATTCAGGAAGATTGTTTCAGTACCAGCCATACGGGAGATCCCCTAATTTCAGAGTTCAAGGCTAGCCAGACTTGCACCTTGCGCCAACCGAATAACAGCACAGCGGCAAAGGAGCTTCTCAGACATACGAAACAAACAGCGAAACGCGCGGCTGGTTTCCAGCTTCACCCAACAACTCCTTGCTGGCCGCTATGTACCAGTGTCACACGAACCAGCCCTCGGATTTGAACGACACGCAGGCTGCCCAAGTTTGGCAAACAAACACATGTTGGCAACTTCATTCCTCCCCTCTCAAATGCCCACTTTGGTTCCTTTAACATATGAGCAAATGTGCACTCAGGTAAGACGGGGCGCTTGTGCCGCCCAGAGGTATCAACGATGATGAGGTCGTACTTTTCTTTCTTGAATAGCTCCACACCTTCCAGATGCCGCGTACATGCGGTCATGCTCAGCACCCAATGCATGTCCACCTGCTGATTGGCTTAGCATGGCGCAAGTTCATGCCCAATGAAAAGCGAACAAGCTAGGGACTGCAATAGTCTCTTTCATGTAGAACCTGAAAACTTGTCTCAGGCTTGCTCAGGCCAACTGCTTCCTTAGTTTGAAGGAAAGCACCGTTGCCTGCAGTTGTTCGGGTGTGCCCAAATGGATCCACACTATTGCTCGCAAAACAAGGAAAGCCGCACATACTAGTTGTAACGTCGCTGGCAAAGTCCACACGGCAATGGACAAACAACAAATAACAGCTTAACATGGACGACAACTATGCCGAATGCGCCGACCACTTTGACAAACAGCTATTCTGTCAATGAGACTATAGCTTGACAAACTTCGGAGCAAACCTTGTTTTATCCAAGGATTATTTCAGATTTTGGCGGTCAGAGTCATCCTCACAGCATGTTTCGTGCATGGTTTTCTGTTTGACGACACTTGTGGAAAATAAGTTTAACAAGCGCTCTGAACAAAAGCTTATGTCCCGAGTCTAGATAAAGCTATACAAAGTTATACGTATGGTTTTGCTCGGACCCTCTTGTTTAGCCCACGTGAGGCTCTCCAAGCATCTGTCAAACATTGAGCGCAACTTGAACTTCTAATTGGATTTCAAGTTCAACCATGAGGTACACGGTGTACAGTTGATGATGCTCTTCCGGTTTGAACTGCAAGTTCGTAATCCAACTCCGTCATTGGGAAATCTAAAACAGCTCACAAGTCTGGCACTGGCCAAAACAGTGCCAGGTCGATGTCCATGGCTGTTCAACCAAATCTCCCAGAGATTGACGTCTTTTGCAAAGCCGCCAGCCCGGCCTTCCTCTGCGATCTTCACAGGATCCGTCTCGTTATAGTCGCCATAGAAAGGTATTCTCACCTGAGTCACAACCGAAACCCGGTAAGGGAGACTCGTAACTGTAAATCAAAGACGTAACGCCATGTCTAGGCACCTGCGTTGCGGCACCGATGCCAAGCCAGATCCGGCTGGACAACTTTAGGGCCCGAACCCCCCAACCTGAAGGGAGCAATCAGAGAACAACAGTGGCACCCAGAATTGGACGCGGCTGAGAAATCATGAGAAATCGGGCTGTAACAGTAAGGCATGCTTCCCTAGAAAGACTTTAGGCAGGACAGCACGTGCTTCCTCGCTATTACTCCACCATGAATTGATGCATGGGGATGTCCACAAACAAACCAACCTTTGAAACCAACCAATCCAAGAAAGCCAAATTCAAAGCCTCCCATCTGCCCAACAGTCATTACCCAACCCGCCTGGCAAGCATCCTTAAGCCAGCCACCCAGAGCCCGGAAAGCCACCCAGAGCGGGCCTTTGAGGCGTTCTGCTTCAGCTGGTCAAAGGCACCGGCACGGAAGGTGTCCGCACACACCAGAGCAGTCTTCCAACCTGCAAAGTGCAATGCGCAAAGGGACTCCCACCCAGCAAAGAGGGACAGTCTATCCATTGGCTCAAGCAGGTATAAAGCACTGGCCATGAGGGATGTGGTTTAACATCGCCCTGCCATCAGCCACAACCAGAATTGTGGCAAACAGCTCAGGGAAAGACCAAACCTGATAGGAGGAAGACCTTTTGCAGCAGGATCGTCAACAAAAGCCCAGAAGAAGCAACCTTGGAGGGGCAGGTGCGGCTTGTACCAGACATCTGAGCCATTGTGAAGAAAGAAGAAAGAACCCATCTGAAAAGCAATCTTGACACAATTACATGACCGTCGGGCTCGACTCCTCTGCAACGAGTGGGTCCCAGCTTGCATTGGCGGGCATCATTATCTCAAGTTAACAATCTTGGTCGGGCAGTGGGCGGAATCAATCTTCAAGGACAACTTCCTGGCAACCACTTTGCGCAACAGCCTTCGAGACTACTCAGTCCAGCCCCGGTATCATGTCCTCAAACAAGCGTTGTTCTTATGATTTGTGTTTCTTTTGAACCTGGCCGAGGCGGGCAGGGCGCAGTGTTTACAATGATTGAGTTGACCATCTGAGAATCTGAGGCAAGCATGGTGCTCAGAAATGCGCTCAACCAAAGCAATCATAGATGAACAGTACTGGGTGATACGCTTATAAAATATCTATCTATCACAAATGCCTTGCCTCTGTGAGCCATAGATGAACATCTGCACCAAACGTGTTGTGTCTGAAAGTCGTTCAAACATGTGCTTGCTGAAACATGGCATTCGTCCACAACTCCAAACCTGGTCAGGGAACTATCCAACTCACTACCGCCAACTTGCTTTTGCATGCACTAGCTGGGTGCAGCATCTTGACATCCACAAGCTCCTTTCAAGCAGTGTGCCATGCTATGTCGCTGCGACTACTTCGTGTGATCTGTCGGACATCTTTGTTCATATCCACAAAGCAGCAAGGCGTGGGTCACGCTTCGAGTAGCACCATCGCGTGTCAGCTCGCAGCAAGAGCAGCCCTGCCAGGCCTTTGCGGTTGTAGTAATGCGCATACTTGGTGCACGTGGTTGTTTTTCCACTGCCCTGCAGGCCCACAAACATGATGATGTTGACCTTTCCTTTCCTTAGCAGCCGCAAATGAGAGCATGGACCACTGACACCACTCAGCCATTCAAACACCTGCTCAGCTTTGAACAAGTTTGCAAAGGCTATCTAGGCCTCTGTTCGATGACATGGCAGGAACGGTCACACTGGAAACGGGCACGGTCTTACCTCATGGCCGACATCAAACACCACAAAGCAAACTGATGTCATCACGAAATGGCAAATCATACTCTCTCCCCCTTTCCCTGTGATTTCAGAAAGGTAGAGCTGCATGTTGATGGCTTATCATGTCAACGACATGGCTTGTCTTCAACAGCACAATTATGTAATCCACACAAGTCTATGCGCTCAACCGAACTATTCACCAATGCATGTGTCCGTATCCAATCACTGGACGGAGCTGACAGAGGCATTTCAAAGTTGTGCTTGAAGCTGAAACCATGCTTCCAAGAAGAGGATGCCACACTTTTCGCGATGCAAATGTACCAACTGCTGAGGATCATTCCCACCCTGACCCATGCACGCCAGCCAACATGCCGCAACCTTGGCCCGGCAAGCCTCTGAACAAAATATATCACTATGTTAAGACTGTGTCCTCGGCATCATGTGCTCTGCCGCCATCGCATATGCCATTCTCAAATCGAAGCACATTTGCATTCAGTTGGCAAGCTCATGAGAACGGGGTTATGGTGACTTAGCTGACGTGCGCTACGCAACAACCACTCTGGAACATCGGCAAGGGAACTCACAGAGTCGAGCGTCTCCAGCTTGTAGGGCTTCCGGTCTGTGGACACGAGGCGCACTAGCTCCTCCACAACAGCCTTGCCGGAAGGCAGAAGGCGACCGGCTGACTTGACATCTGGCCTTCAGTTCTGACTGGACTCACCGGCCGGCCTTCACCAGAGTTCAAAAATGCCTTGAGGATTCATTTGTACAAGATTCGTAAATCCTGGAGAGGAATGATTCCTCACGCGCCAGTGTGCTGATGAACCTGCCCTCCGACAATCAACGTCAATCAACGACCTGGACAGCACACCAACAAGTGACTCGGATATGCAGCGTTATTATTGACACACTAGCACACAAAGGAACAACTGTTCTGGCCCTTCACTCTACCTGGTATCGCAAAAGTCATGAACAGTGTGCGAAAGAAGAATCCACCGGAACAGCACACTGACCAACCACGGATCGCACGCAAATCACAGTGCAGCCAAGAACGTCACGGTACGATATACGAGAAGGGCTCCAGCAGTGGCAAGCGGAACAGTACTGCCATCAAATTTGAGCTTGGACAATGAAGCGCACTTGCTTAATGCAAGCTATCCCTGACCAAAAGCCTGGGATTGCACGTGCACAGGCCTTCTGGATCAGCTTTCGCTTGTTCACGCCGCTGGCGTCGCTTTCCAGAAGCACACGCTTCTTCACATTATTCCTGCTGACATGCGCCAGCAGCTCAAACGGTGTGTTGGATCCATGGATTGCCAATCCACCAGTCAAACAAATGGCTGCGTGGGAGAGCCCCGTGCATGGGGACCCTAGCGATCAGAAGCTGGAAGCAGCAGACTTGCTGTGCATTGAAGTATTGAATAATGGTGTCCTCCTGAGCAGTGGAACTATGCAACTTTCAGTGTTGCAATATCAAAACACAATTCTAGGGCGGTCGGATCAACGGGAATAACCTCGGCCAAATATCTGCCCTGGCCATCCTTGCAAGATGCCAACGGTATGAAGCTCAAGAAATCGTCAAGATCAAAGCCTCGAAAGCAAGCTGTGCCGTCTGTGCCAAGGATTGACACTGCAGTTGAGAAGCATTGGGGGGGTGACCAGCACCAGTAAATAGCAGCGGGAAAAGGCTGATGAGAAACAAGCTGATGTCAGGAAAAAACCATCTTTGAAATAGGCCTGATTTTAGGCTTCACCAAACACACAATCGATTGGGCACAACTTCACACTCAGCAGGTGTCACATAATCATCTCGCAGCAACTCTGAGCCAATGAAACATGGATCTCATCTCAAGCCACAACCCTCCAGGCCACGTGCAACCAGGAAGAAGCACATCTGGGTTTCTGTGCTTGGGCACACAAGAGGCACAGGTTGATTCAAAGCTGTTCTTGCCAGCCTTCCAGGGCTTGCTGAAGACTCCCAACTTTCAAAAGATGTGTTGACCCGACTAACTTTCCCCCGATAGACCACACACACATGCTCAGAACATGTGTCAACAACAACCCAGGTAGCTCTAGACCAATGATCAAGTGAACTTCTTCCGCACTCAGGTCTAAGATCTGTCCTCAACTCGGAGACATAGCGGACGTTGACATCCGCATGCAGCAAGGCTGCAGCGATTTCCTTCAGCACTTCATCCAGAAGATCGTCATCCTCAGCCAAAGCATCAATGCGCCGGCGTAATGAGGAGGGCCAAAACAAGGTCAGCCAAGGTGGATCAAGTTGATGGGGTTTGTCCCTTGCAGTGTGGACTGGCGGGGTTGAAAAATATTGACTGACAAATATGTTGCTCTTCTCGGAATCCCCATTGAATTGTGAAGACCATTTGCACAGAACCTGTTTTCATATACATATATATATATGTATTAATGGATATGGAAGGACGCCACGCATCAACAACTGGCAAGAGCCACATGTAGCAAAAAAGGACCTGGAACTGCAAAACCTTTGGGATCTTCACAATAGAAGTGTTGAGGAGGAAGTTGAGTCGTTGAAGGTGACTCATTGCGGAAGCCCTGGCAACTTCCAGCTCCCAGGTTGATCAGCACGCAGGCTCTGGCAAATACCTTTGCTCCTCACTCCAAAGTCGCATGAAGGCAGCCAATCAACACATGATAAATCAATTTGAATGGGATCGCAATCCCAGCGCACTTCAGTTTTGAGGCGGAGCCTTTCTAAATTGTGTTCACGCCAAGCTTGGATCACCCAGCTGGGCTGGGACAGCCAGACTGGTTCACCTTTCCAGCAAACCGCCATTAATCATCGCCAGCTCAACCGATGGCCTCTGCATGTTTTAAGCAAACTTGCGCAAGATACATTCCAAGGGTAAGGCCAATCCGCCTTCAGTGAGGATCAAGTTGCCAAATCTGGCAAATTCAGGGAAGGGCGATCTGTGGCAAAACACACACGCAAAACAAAACAAACAACTGCCTGAGTGGCCTGTCCAGGAAGTGATATCTTGCACAAATAACTATTTCGAATGTTCTGGCAAAGTCCAACATTCGTTGTTGCATAAAATCATCATGCACATGAGATATATAATAATCAGACCTGACCATCAACACACAATCACAGAGTCATTCGGGAAAAATGCGTATCGAGCAAAACTACATAGTACAAACAAATAATAAAAGTCAAGGCAACGCGAAGCCTCAAACCAACCGCCATGCCGTCTGTGCCGCAAAGGTGCGATAATCGGCGCCTGATTCAGGCGCTGAAAGGATGCGGTGATCCGGGAGCCTAACTCCCCGAGCACCATGGTCTAGCCAGCGAGCGGCCGGAGCGGATGGGTCCAGGCGGCCAGGCGGGATTGCTATTGAACACAAACATGAAACACGCACAAGAAGAACACGCATGCTGCTGCGTAGTTCCTCAACACTGAGCACTTAACGCGGAGGAACTTCCAGCTCCTTTCTGCCAACATGCAACACACACACACACACTGAGTTCGTTTTCCACAATGGTTTCTTGATGGGATTGCAGACTACCACAAACATATTGTCGCATACGGGAACCACACAGCTGTGTGATCAACTGTTCAAGGACTAAGGAAGTTGGGCATACTAATAACCTTTTGGATGGTGTTGTCTAGATGTCCTAGCTTCACTCGACCCGGACTTCTTACTTGTGAAACCAAACGTGGAATCAGGCACCATAGCTGGCCTTCTTTTGGAAGGGGGATTTTTTGCGCTGTTGAGCAGGCCAACCGCTTGACACCGAGGGCGCACGCCTTCCATCGACAAACCACTGCATCTCATGGGAGGGGTCAGACAGGGAACGAGAAAACAGGCAAGTGATCGCAGAACAAAGAGGGGAAAGGGTACACAACAAAACCAGAGCTATGACATTAAACAAAATCAACATAAATCACAATGACCTCATAAAACAAGATAACATAAATGATGTCAAACAACACAACAAAGCAGAACCTGAAAAGGAACAAGTACAAACTAAACAAGTAAAAGCACACATATCAAGGAAACAATCTTCAGAGGCTAAGGCATAAGCAGCTAAACGTGCACCCAATAACAAGCAGGCAGTCAAGCAAGCAGGCAAAGAAGAAAAGAGCAGGCAAACAGGAGCAACAAAAACACACACACACAAACAAACAAACAAACAAACAAACAGTCAGTCCATTCGGTCAGTCGCATGCCCAACCTTGGACAGCGTACGCAGTCCTTTTTCACCCCTTGGCCAGAGTGGGTGGGAAAAGCCTGCGTCATGAGACTTTAAGTCTCTTCTTCTTCAAGTTCCTTCAGGAACTAAGAGGGAGTGTTCAATTGTTTCAGAGATTGATGAGTGGACAATCTCCCCTCTTCGGGATGAATGCCTCGAAGCAGGTAGCCAAGTGCGCAACAGGGGTGAGAAGGTGGCAAAGAACAAATATGCTCGCTGAACTGGTTGAGGTATCGACCGATCACAAGAAATCGACACTATTTGGGATTGTAATTCACAAAACACTGGTTGTCCACGACAAACAAACAAACAATCAAAGAGCCAAACCCACACACACACACCCAAAACAAACCGACCAGCCACCCACCCACCCACCCACCCACCCACCCACCCAACCAACCAACCAACCATCCATCATACCAGCCAGCAGCCAGCCAGCCAGCCAGCCAGCCAGCCAACCACCCACCACCCCAACCAACCAACCAACCACCCAACACCCCAACCAACAAACAAACAAACAAACAAACAAACAAACAAACAAACAAACAAAAACAAACCCACACAAACACACACCAACCAAACTGATCAGCCAACCAACCAACAAACATATAAACAAGCAAGCAAACAAAAAAAAATCAAACAACCCAAAACAAACAAACCAACCAACCAACCAACAAACAAACAACCAACCAAACAATCAAACAATCTAGCAGACAAGCAAGCAAGCAAGCAAGCAAGCAAGCAAGCAAGCAAGCAAGGCAAAGCAAGGCAAAGCAAAGCAAGGCAAAGCAAGGCAAGGCAAGGCAAAGCAATGCAAAGCAATGCAAAGCAATGCAAAGCAATGCAAAGCAAAGCAATGCAAAGCGATGCAAAGCAAAGCAATGCAAAGCGATTCAGCAAGCAAGCAAGCAAGCAAGCAAGCAAGCAAGCAAGCAAGCAAGCAAGCAAGCAAGCAAGCAAGCAAGCAAGCAAGCAAGCAAGCAAGCAAGCAAGCAAGCAATCAAGCAAGCAAGCAAGCAAGCAAAGCAATGACAATCAAGCAAGCAAGCAAGCAAAGCAAAGCAAAGCAAAGCAAAGCAAAGCAAAGCAAAGCAAAGCAAGCTTGCAAGCAAAGCAAAGCAAAGCAAGCAAACATACAAACAATAAACAAACAAGCAAGCAACCCAAACAAACAAACAAACAAGCAACAAGCAAACAAACAAGCAAGCAAGCAAACAAACAAGCAAGCAAGCAACCCAAGCAAAGAAACAGGCAAGAAAGCAGGCAAGCAAGAAAACAACCTCGGCATGCCAAAGGCTTCATTGAGTCAGCTTCTGTCATGTGACCCTTCTCTCAAGCCAAGGCCTTGTCAGCCCGGAAGCAGATTGACTTCCGTTGACTTCCCAACAGCGATGGTATGTGATGCGAATCGAATGCTGCAAAACACGACCAAAGAAGCCAACCAAGTTTGCAAGCATCATCAATTGCAGTGTCATGTGATGTCCTCTTGAACTCTTCGCTTTGGTCCGCCTGACTCTGAAACCAAAAAAAACAAGCCACAGCGACTGACCACCCCCACTTGTCCCACAACACTTGAAATGTGCAAGCCATGCCCTGCCTCAACACAGCACGCCCAGACCGGGCTGAGCCAGGGGTGTCGCGAGACGTTGCAGGTTGTAAAGCTGCAAGGATCTCAAACAACTCATCGGTTGCATTCCCGTTTCCGCAAACCACATTGATTCAATATGCACTCCAATGATCTATGACCCACAGAATTCAAGCATGACCCTCCTGTGTACATATCAGAGGTGTGTTTGGTGATAAATACTGAATTGCACAGCAGCATGCATTGAGCTTGTACCAAGGTAGCATGCTGCGAAGCTAGAACCTCCTCCTGGTGTATAGCTGCCAAGATGGAATGAAACAAGTGCTTACTGCAAAACAGCCCAGACTGAGCTTTGGCAAGGCAACATACCAAACATACGAGGAACTACTGAAACATGCAATAGAAAATGCAGTGGGTCGAATTTAAGTGGAGCAGTCTCTGGTTGAAAAAAAGGCAACGGGGCTCACCGAATGTATGTCGAGATGGTTACCTAAGATGCTAGATCCTTTCTGACAGCAATGGTTTCTTCCTAACTATGACGGGCAAAGTGCCCCGAACCCAAACAAGTTCTGGCACTCATTCCCCACCTACTCACTCTACTGGCTGTACTCGCTCTACTGACCTACTCGCTTCAAAGTGACTTTTGAGAAATCCATTTCAGCATGTGAAATCCCCAGAAACCGATGCGTCTCTGAGTCTTTAGTGCGCTTTTTTTTTGCACCGGAGCATGCCTCGTGTGTGAGACGCAAAGGCTCAAGGCACGGACGGCATTGACTTGATACGATGCTTAATGATACGAATTGATGTCACTCTGAAAGCTACTCTTACGTACTTTAAGACAGACTCTTTCCAGGACAGACTCTTACAAAGACCAGGCCCTTTCAAGGGCCAGGCCCTTTTGACCGCGCCTGTGCCTCGTTAGTGCTGAGCATACACTCTCAGTCGAACTACAGCCAGTAGTCTGGCAGCTGCATGCAACATGTTGGAAAGAGCTGAAGCTGCTCATTTCAAAGCCACACATTCGAAGACTGAGTTTTACTACTCAAAGCTGAAGGGAAAATATCACATACAATCGTCATGCTGCAAGCTGGTGGGAACTCACCACTGTTTTCCGCGGTAGTGGCTTGAAGAAGTGCGTGCGTGCGTGCGCGTGCGCGTGCGCGTGCGTGGGTGTGGGTGTGGGTGTGGGTGTGTGGGTGTGTGTGTGTGTGGGTGTGTATCGCTGTGTGTGTGTGTGAGTGTGTGAGTGTGTGAGTGTGTGAGTGTGTGAGTGAGTGAGTGAGTGAGTGAGTGAGTGAGTGAGTGAGTGAGTGAGTGAGTGAGTGAGTGAGTGAGTGAGTGAGTGAGTGTGTGTGAGTGTGAGTGAGTGAGTGAGTGAGTGAGTGAGTGAGTGAGTGAGTGAGTGAGTGAGTGAGTGAGTGAGTGAGTGAGTGAGTGAGTGAGTGAGTGAGTGAGTGAGTGAGTGAGTGAGTGAGTGAGTGAGTGAGTGAGTGAGTGAGTGAGTGAGTGAGTGAGTGAGTGAGTGAGTGAGTGAGTGAGTGAGTGAGTGAGTGAGTGAGTGAGTGAGTGAGTGAGTGAGTGAGTGAGTGAGTGAGTGAGTGAGTGCGTGAGTGCGCGCGCGTGGGTGTGTGTGTGTGTGTGTGTTTGTTTGTTTGTTTGTTTGTTTGTTTGTCTGTCTGTCTGTCTGTCTGTCTGTCTGTCTGTCTGTCTGTCTGTTTGTTTGTTTGTTTGTTTGTTTGTTTGTTTGATTTGTTTGTTTGTTTGTGTGTGTGTATTTGTATTTGTATTTGTATTTGTGTTTGTGTTGATTCATGTTTGTGTTTGCGTGTGCACGCGCGTCAGCATTCCTAAGAAGTCTACAGAAAAACAGCACTCAATCTGCCAAGGGTGTTTATCCTGGCAGCAAGTACCGTATCGTGAGCCCGGTAACAAGACAGATTCAAACACATTGCTTCTTTCAACAAATCCACTGCCTATGTAACCAGTCCTCGTCAGCATGCTTGTTGTATCAAACAACTGGCAATACCCTGTTCAGTGCTGAAGTCAGCCATTCCCAACAAAGACCTCCTCAATATCGCCATGGGCTCAAATACGTAGTTTACTTTGTCGGGCCTACCCAAACTGCGAAACATCCTCGGGGTGCGAGTCAAATCAAATATGAACGGTACAGGCATGCTTGCCGTCCACATTCTTGAACATGTACGCATTTGCAGAACGGGATTTCTACCACAGCTTCCTTCCGACTTTTTCGAAAAGCTCATGCAGCATCTTGCCTACGTCGGGCAGCCATACTTACCGTTGGGCGCGGTTTGCACTGCTCCGGGCTCCTGAGCCTAAGCCATCCACTCCGAGTCCGGGAGTGGGGACTGGAAAGCGAGTCCGTGAATGACTTGGATACGTTTTGACCGGGGTCAATCCTCTAGAAGGCTCAGGAGAGGTGCGAGTAACTCGTGCAGTTCGAGAGTCCGGCGGCCTGGCCTTTTCTGGTCGCGCGGAGTCCAAATGCTGCGGGCCTCGACGAGCAATCCAAGCTGCGGCGGCCTTTCCTTCAGAGCATTCCTGATTTGAATCTTTGCCGTTCTGAATCTTGTTGACCTTATTTAGGATGCTGTTCGTACTTCAAGCACGCTGAGGACGCCAAGGAGTGACTCTGGAGTTGTAGAACTTGTCTGGATGCCATGTGCATGCATATTCAGTTCGACTGGCTTTAGAGTATTTTATCTTGTGCTATAGTCACTAGGCCTGCCCGAGAGGTCGGCGCTCGCGGCTTGGCAAGAGGTGAGACGTCATGGGCGAACCCCTTGGAACATCACACTCCTGATGAGATCTGGGTTCAGCCACTTGTCCTCCAGTAGGCAGAGTGTTTCGATGTTCCTTCAAAGGTCGCCCCAAAGAGTTGCATGTTTAAAAGCCGGTTGAGTAGATCTGGTCGTTGGCACGCCTTCCGTCAATACCGGCCAAGGGGAAAAAACTGATGCTGGGGCGCCAGCAACGCTCATTGGGCATGCATTTGCATGGTTCACATGCTACATGCGTGCAGGCAGCACCTTCAATGCTTTGAGCGGCTGGTGCTTCGCTCCATTAAGCTGAGCTTCAGAGACTCAACAAAAGGAAAACACAGTTTAAGCAACGTACCGCTGGCTGCCACACGCACGACCTCTGCACCAAGGCTGGCACGGGCATGTGCGATTCGGATCCCAGCCCAGCGTCACCAAATGCATCCCAACCTGGGAGATGGCGGACAGGTCTTGGTCACGGAGGGCTCCCAGCAAAAATGATCTGCCTGGCCTATCAGTACTATGGCCTGTGGACATGTCTCAAAAGCTCAGGCGCACCAAAGCCACTCATACTGTGCACTTCCCACAGTGGCCAAAGAAAGTCACGAAAACGAGTTGCCTGCCTGGGCCTCTGCCTGGCCGACCAAATCGTGGAGTGATACGGGAAATCGTAGACACAATTCAATATTGTTTTCCAGGGATAGCCAAGCGCTGTGCAACATTAAAGATACCCTGCGCACTTGCATGCTGATTGCAAGGAGGGCATCACCAGTCTCGCTGCTAGTAGCTTTGATGGGATGTACCACCTTCTGCATGGCAATATCTGTGCCTTGGTAGATCAATGCGATGTTGGAGGCTCGGACTTAGGCTAAGTAAGTCTGAGAGCCTTCCTGCATTGACCACACCCCAGGGCATACTGCCAAATAGCCAAGAAAACACGTGACCAAAGAAACTGCTGGATCCAATCCCGAGCGGTGCACTCAGCATCTCATTGGGGAAGACTTGGTTGCAGTCACTGAGCCCCTTCACCAAATTATGTATTGAGCCACCCTCACATCCAGAATAGTCTAGGGCTACCCTCAGTATCCAGCTTTGAAAAGATGACACGATGCTGTTGACTCTGCCATTCTGGGCGAATTCAAAACCATTCGCCAGTCATTGAGGGACTGCCATCCCCTTGAGCTGGTGAGGCACTTCGGCCGACTGCCCCAACACTGCCAAGACACAACGGGTGCTGCAAGGGCTCCTGGGGCACGCTTTGAACACGTGAAGGGAATGCACAAGAACCACAGCCTTTGCGCGCCAGTCTAAGTGGTCTTGCCGACGGAATACAAGACTGACTCTAGACTGGATACCCAACAATAAGAAAAAAGTAACAACACACCTGCCAGCAAACCTGAAGGAAGGCCCGTTTGCAAGCAATGCGGGGCTTGTTGCTGGCTGCTCTTGTTTTCTTCACCATGGGAAGACTTGTCGCAAAACAGCAGCTTTCAAATCACCACGGGTGATCGCACAAGTGGATGCCAGCACTACTCTTGAGTCAGAGTTTGACCAGAAAATTCAATCGGAACCATGTTCCTATCATTGCCCTTCCAATGGAATCGCGGAAACCAACACAAAGCACTTGCCAAGAATGCCAAGTTTTAAATGCAAAGCTGCAGGGCCAGCAGGTCTTGCTCAAAATGATTTGGCTATTTCCTAAATTTTGAGTACCGCCTGCCGTGCACCCTGGTGATAATTTATAAAGCTCAGATTCTGCGATAAGCAACCCCCCATCATGATCATCCCATCAGGTTCAGGGAAAAGGACTCACTTTGGATTGCCATGAGGCTTTGCGTTTGCCCATGTTGCCCAACGCAGCTCATAGTCTTTGTTGTGATCGGAGTGTTGGTTCATAGCCAGGCCCACCGACCCAACACGCAGGGCTGTTGCTGAAACCGTGTTTTGTTGTTGTGGGCTTTCTTGGCATGTGCGTGTCATCCAGGGCTCTCTTGGCTTGGTGTTTGCCTTGTTTATTGGTGTAGCAAGTTAGGCTTGAACCACCAGAATGACACTGCAATCACGTGACGCAGGTCGTTGGCAAGTGCTCAAACATTCAACACCATTCATTTTGTTGCCGCCGTTCTGTCTCTTTGACCACGCTAAGCTTTCAAACATGGTACCTGAAGCGTATCACCGAGATGAGTCGATCAGTTGTGCTTGTGGGAAATGATCTGTGAATTCCTGTGCGTCCGCACGAGACACTGGGAAAGGAAACATAGCAGGCATGCTCCCCCGGTTTAATCAGACCTTCAAAAACATGCTACAATGGCCAATGCCCCTGCTGAAGGAACACCCGTCATCCTCCGGCAAGGGGTTCCAGGCCGAGGCCCGTCTTTTCTGCCGCCCAGGAGCTCGAAAATCCACTGCAAGCCAATGGGAACATTTTGTTGGGGTCCTTCTGGTCGCGCAGTGCGTCGGGAGATTATTTGAGCTGTTTCATTGAACCCTTAAACCCAACGAATGGGAGCTAACATTCCTTAGCAAGGCAAACGCATACATGTTCAGAGCACACCCATTGCAAATATTGGTTCCACCAACATTGATAGCCAGCGCTCCCAACAGCTGCAAGTGTCAAGGACGCGTGCAGTCAACAAATACACGTTGACAATCCTTTATAATCCTAATTGAAAACTGATGGATGCAAGCTGACAAGTTGAGCCACCGAACAATGAGCTGCTTGAATGATACCAGATGCCCGCCTTCAGACATTCGGCAACGCAGAAAGATGTCGCGGGTCGTAGCGCAGGCGCCGAAAAACAACGCGCAACTTCAACAAAACACCATGCACTTATCAATGGAATAAATGCGAGTAGTACTGTACCGCCCAGTTTCGACAAGCGAACAGCAGGCCTGTGACGGGCGCACCAGGTCTGGTAAGCAGGGCAAGTCGCCTCTGGCCTGCGCATCGACTTGAGCATGGAGGACGTGTCAACGCGGAAAGCTTTGTGCTTATCATCATGTTGGTTGGTCACTACGTGGGAAAGCAGCCCCGGAGAGTGCTACTCGCCGCTAGCTGTTGGGAAGCTGTAGCAATACTTCCGACGTTGCAAACCTGCACTTGAAACATGCACTGCGTCAACCTGTTTCACATGCGTGATTTTCTCAACATTGACCTAACAATGCGGGCAAGCCATCCAACATGCTGACCAATACCAGGCTTGGTGACCAAGCCACTAGAGTGTTTTGAGCTGGCTGGCACCTCCTCTTTTGTACACCCCACGCCTCCAGCCACCCCCGCACCCGTCCTCCCCAAAACCACGAGCTGGGGCCCCTGCGCTCACACGGCTACCAGCCCGTGAGGCAGGGCCTCGCGGCCGATCCGCCCGGCTTGATTGACGAGGCTGTCACGGACGCTCAGGTTAAACCAAGTTGGGCTTTGACATGTGCCCCTGTAGTCGCGTACATGTGACGTGGTCAGTCCCGCCCCTCCTACCCAATGCCACCCTCACTTCCGCGACCTTTCCGCTTCCCACCCTTCTATGAACTGCCTGAGTTGTCCAAAACACAAAACACACCCAACCAATCCACACCATCCCAAGTGGTTGCTGCCTGCAAACCTGCATCATACAAATACATATACATATGTTTACATTCATCATGTATAAATATATATATATATATATACATACACATGATGTACTATATGAGTGTGTATTGCGTGCAATACTCTCAAGAAGTGATATTGATCAGTCTAAAGGTGATATGTATGAAGCAAACAATCAAACAATAAAACAATCAGTCTAAAGACGCGCGGGCTGGGGTACCTAATGATGCAGTGGTGGTTACAAGCTTTAATCCGTCTCAGAGGCTGAGTCAAACCACTTAGTACTGCCACCTTAGTCATAATCGCAACTTGTAATTACATCAGTTTAGCCAATACACTGTTAAGACTCAAGTTTATGGTTTCCTTTCTGGATATTGGCCGCACATGTATTGGCTGCAGTCGTGGATTGTGGACCAGTGTTCATCCTAGTCCCATGTATAGACATGCTCAAATCATTTCTGTGAAGAATGCCCCGTCGTTCATGACAAAAGAACACTGAGTTTGTCTCGACCTGGCGACCAACACACATAAAATCAGCAGAAATGAGGTGCCCCTGGATACAAGACAATTGACCACTTCACCCGGTTGTTTATCAGGATACAACGAGCTTCAGAGGTGTTGCCTTCCCCAGTCAATTCAGACTCTTATTTACCTTGATCTGGCTTTGCTTGGGTTGTTTGGGTTGCTTGGATGTGTGGTAACAACCAAACATGCCAAGCCCAGTCACCATCCCAAGAGCACAGCGCCAGTTTCAACATGATTCAACTGCACTACGGAAGAGCCAAGAATCACAAATCATACCGTGAATCAGAATATGACCACGTGCAATCTGAAGACTTGCCCAATAGCAGTAGCTTACTTTTGTCTAGGCAAGCGATGGCCTGGGAACTTTTGGGAAACTTGGGGCATAGTGGATGGCGTCCCTTTGCAAACAAAAACACAACCGTCATTTTCGGGGAGTGCATCCCGCAGCCAGACCACCAGCCTCCACGTCGGCCTTGGTCTAAGCCTCTGATGGCCGGTGCAGGATATGCCCGCTTTCTTCTGAATATTTCCACAAGCATGGAAGGCGCCCCTCTAACAAAACAAGCGCGTGCGTACTGCAAAGTGCTGAGTCAACATCGTGTTTCTGTCACATGGGTCATTCCCACGTATTTCCACATGTTCTCATACCATTGTCCATCATGAATGCTGCTGCCCAAGGCAGTCCAACTCGTTGATCGATGAATGACAAAATCAACACACCGTAATTTGTTGCAGTGGCTCAGAGAGTACCAACATTTGGGTCCCCATTTGGCTGTGTTCCAGCAAGGCATCTTTTCATGGCTGTGAGATGCACGAAATTCATTGCATCAGCATCCAAGCACAGCGCGCGGCAAAGGCACCCGCCGTGCACGGGCCTCGGGAAGGAAGGCGAAGGAAGGCGGCGACAAGAGAAAGCAAACTGGTCCCCCCCCCTTGGTCAAAAACAAACGCGGATATTGATATCTAGTTGAGGGATTCCGAGTCTGCGGTTTTTGTCGTTGTTAGAAGTGTAGTGTGAGAGAGACGCACAGTGGCGTGGGCCCAACCACCAAACGATAAGTGGTGGGTCAGCGCCTATCCACAAGGTCAGACCCCATTCAGTTTTGCTATAAAGGACCAACATCGTAAGATGCAGATGTCCCATAGAATCTGGAGTCGCCCAGCATCCGGCCCTCGACAGGGTCAGTTGCGACGCCCCCTTCCCCGCACGCAGGAAAGTTGGCTGCTCGTGGCTCATGTGAACTTGCGCATATGTGTTTGCACCGTTTTTGAGCCTTGTAGTACATATACAAAAGATCAGCTTGCTACGACCCAGGATGCCAACATGTTGAACCGTTGCAGCGTGTGTTTCTTGCAAGGCAGCTAGTTTGTACGGGTTCGGATCCATCCTCAAAAGCTTCCAGGCTCGCCCTATTAGCACAGTACCACAAAGACAACACATGCACAAAGGATACTGCCAAGCACCAACACAGAATCGCATTGAGCCACTGCTTGGCCCTGCGCAAACTGCATCTATCCCCTCTCTTCGCGAGCGTTTTCTGCCGCTGTGGAGATGCACGCCGTGCATTTCAAGGCCCCCAGATTGAGCTGTACGTTTACCATAGCTGCATGAGGCCGCTTCTCATTGAGAAGAAGACGGACATATCCGCACGGTGCAAACGAGCTCCAACCGAAAAATGCCAGAAGCGCTCGCTTCTCAGCGAAGACCAGATTTCGGTCCTGTTCCACGTGTGTCTCCTGAACAATCAATGAGTCAATGGTGTTAACTGCAGACCACCCTTTGGGTGGCCCCGCGGCTTCCGAAGTGATGCAAAGGCGTCAATGCCACATCAAACAAAACAAACGACCATACGCGTACAAGCCCTGCCAAGAAATCCACATGCAATATCATAACGATTGCAAAGCTATGCATCCCTCTGCCAGCGTCATGACACCAGCAAAGTTCAAAAATACTGAACACAGCTTCACAGGTCAGCTGTGCCACATGCCTATCACTGCAAACAAAATAGGATCCTGCCGATTCTTCGGCTTCACCAAATTCCGAGCACGCTCAAGCCAGTGTGCAAGTCTATTCGCCACTCACCCCCCTTGGATAGAACCACCATGTAAGATATGCCAACTGCTTTGTTTGCGTCATCCAAGTGTTTGCCAAGCACGTTGCCTTCGGGCCAGCTTCACCTGCTTCACAAACAATGGGCTCTACAAGGGCTGCCAAGGCGTCCCAAGGTGGGGCACTCCTTACTCTAATTTCGGCCTTGTACATGCTGCGGGAAGCTCTCATACTACCGGTATCACGCCGACAACAGCTTTGCACTAGTTGCGGTGTGCTCAGTGCTCGCACCTCTTGCTGCTAGTCTCTGTCTCTGGACATGAGAGTTGTTCTAAATTGGTTTTCCTGACCTTTTCGCAAGGCTTCCGCGGCTGCAAGGGTGGATTTCGCGAGTGGCTTAAGTACAGCAACTGGGAAGGAAAATAACAAAGTTGCATCTTGCTATGGCCTGAAACATGCAAGATCATGCTAGTGTCAAACGCCAAAACCCTTTCGTCCTCTCGAAGCCCAGGAAAGCGACGAACACATACAATCTCAGAACGCAACCTACCTGCAAGTATCGCTTTCCAGTGCAAAACTTGAACAACGCTGCACACAAAGCATTAAAGATCCATGCAGTTGCAGCCAACTTGTTTTCGACACCAAGATGGTTCCGGTTAACTAGCTCAAATATGGGTCACTCTAGATGTTGGCTGTCAGAAAAGCAAGCGGGAAATCACTCCACCAATCCCGAGCCAGGCCCTCCATGATGTAATCATAGTGGAAGCCGCGCAATTTTGTGACAACGGAAGCCGCAACGCATGGCACTCTGGAGGGTGCACTGAGGCCTTCGTTTACCAGACCCGGCCGTTTAAACCAAATCCGTGACAAATCTGCCCCTGCGAAGGTAACAAAAGTTGCAAAAACATCTTGGGCAGCTACACTCGCAGCTTTCTCTGCAACTCATCTGGACTTTCCCCGTCAGCATCCGCCAGCCAGGTTGCATGTCCAGTTCCACCTTGAGCACCTGGGCCACTCCCTGCAGCAGCAGCGACAACTCCTGGGAGTTCTGCTCCAAGGTCTCCAGCTGGATCCTGAAACACAGGAAAACATGTCGTGGGCACTTTGGGCGTGGGCTTGTCGAATTACGCACATGGGATAACGTCGGTTACCTCTGCATGGCAACAAATGTTTTCAAGGGCGGCTCACGCCTTGTCCGCTGCGATTGTCGAAGCAAGTCAACTTCCCGCGCAGGCCCGCGGACATGGATGCATCCTGCCAGGTGTCGGGTATCCCTGCTCAAAAGGTTGACGCTTCAGTGCACTGCCCGTCATTCGGCAGGTGACGAAATGTGTCCAACCACCTGTCATCCCCTGGGAAAACCGTCTGGCTGTGCGCTTCTCAATGTGTCATGGACCCCGGCCTTCCACAAACTCCGCCTCGCCGATACAGTGGTCACCATCCTGCCACATGGACTGTTTGTGTTTTGCTGCGAGTCGCAAGCCCTTTGCGGGCCGGGACTGGATAAGGAAAGGCAATATCAAGTTGCGCTTCCAAAAGACGAGACTATGAGACAAGAAAGAAAATGTTGAAGCTGTGCAGGCAGGCACGCGCATGATGGCAAAGGCAGCGCGTCCATGATCTAGACAAAAACAAGAAACTCTTGGATCTGTTGGTCATCCAAACATGTCTGGTGGAAAATAAGCCATCTGCTCTCGTTGGCTTCTCTCTCTCTCTCTCTCTGTCTCTTTCTATCTCGCTCTCTCTCGCTCGCTTGCTTTTCGGTCCAGCACACAACAACTGGACTTGTTGCTGTTCCTGTCAATCAAATGGACCTCCAGGGGAATTATGCACTGTGCTCAGGGTCAAGCGTGGCTGAGTTTTCAGGTCTAGGCATTTTAGGGTTTGGGTTTTAGCTCGACACGGTTTACGGTCGAAGGTTGAGATTGTGGTTTAAAGCCAACACGGTTTTGGTTTAAGGTCAAACCGGCTTAGGGTATAGGTTTGGTTTAGGGTCACTATTGTTTAGCGGGCAAGCTTTGGTTTAGAGTCAATACGGAGTCAATACGGTTTAGGGCTTAGGTTTTGGTCTCAGCACAGTGCAGGCTTTAGGCTTTGGTTTAGAGTCAACACGATTTAGGGTTTAGGCTTTGGCTGCTGAGGCTCAGCGCAGTTCAGGGTTTCCTTTTTGGTTTAGAGCCAACACGACTTATGGTTCAGGCTTGTGTTTGGGGTTCCCACGGTTTCGGGCTTAGGTTTTGGTTTAAGGTCAACACGGTCTGGGATTTTGGACAGCCTGGAGGCAACAAGCCACGACCGCGGGCCTCACTCTGTAAAATAAAGGTGGGCGAGCTACCGCCGGAAAAGGATAGAGGCCCACGGTGTGTCGTGACGCTGCAGCCTCCA